ACTGCCAACTGACTAGAACTAGACAGTCGAGTGGCTAGACCTCCATCCATTGGACATTACCGAACACCTGGAACCATAACGACAGAACAAGAATCGAGCGCGAAGAAATCAAATTGGTTTACACTAGCTCGTGAAAAAGATATTGGATATCGGAGATACTGAGGAGATGGCATGACAAACTTATTTTGTAAATAGTTTTTGACGCTATTTGTATAGCAAAAACCTATATATACCATCGGTATTTTTTATTGTGTGGTTTGTATGAGCGTATACGACTGAGCATTGCTTAGCCTGCGCGCTGACTGATCCTTTTCGCTTCAATGTTAATCTCTTAATAGCCCTATGAACTGACATGACTTGTCTCGCTGACCTTTGACCTTGTCAGTCATTCGTCGCTTTTATTCATGTCTGTGCATGCCTATTTCGCTTGTCATATGTCTGTCTTATTTTTGTCTGACTATATATTATTAGTCATGCTCTATCTCTTTGAGTTGGCTCTTAGCCTTCTCCAATTCGCTTCACACATTCATTAGCATTGTAACCCGTGGGAATTGGCTCAAAAGCCTTCTCTAGTTCACGTCGCTTCATTTGTTTTATTCACTGCTTCTCCACTTCGCTTTGTGGTGTGTCCCGAATAAACGTATTCATCACTACGAGTTCATGTTCTGATATATAAACCGAGCTTAAGAGCACGCAGTAAATCGACACACTACAATACAGTGGATCGACAGGATCCTGATGGACGATCTGAACTTTGCAGATAATCTCGCTCTTCTATTTCACACTCAACAACAAATGGAGAAGACAACCAGTTTAGTAACAGCTGTATATATCAACATACACTAGGGAAAATGTAAGACCAATTACTCAAATCACACTTGAAGGAGAAACTTTCGAAGATATAGAAACTTTTACGTACCCGAGTAGCGCCATTCATCAGCTAGGTGGATCTGATACAGGTGTAAAGGCACGGATTGACAAAACAAGAGCAGCATTTCTACAGCTGAACAACATCCACAACTTAATACAACTGCCTGTTGATCTACACCAAAGTCACGATTTTCAATACAAGTGTCAAGACAATTCTAATGTACGGGGAGGTACCGTGGAGAACCGCGAAGGCCATCAAGTACTAGTGTCTGTTAACAGCTGTCTGCATAAAATACTTCGGATCTTTTGGCCAGATGCCATGGGTAATAACCCAGTGCATAAAAGAACGAAGCAGATGAAGAAATCAGGAAGAAGCTGTGGAGGTGGATAGGACACACATTGAGCAAATCACTCATCTGCGTCACAAGGCAGCCCCCCACTTAGAATCCTCAAGGCCAAAGGAGAAGTAAAAGGTAGAGGAACACATTACTCCGAGAATTAGAGACAGACATGAGAAGAATGAACAACAATCGGACAGAATCAGAAAGGAAGGTCCGCGACATTGTGTTGGAGAAAGCTGGTCCGGCAGCCTATGCTCTTTTTAGGAGTAGTAGGCGTAAGTAAGTAAGTCTAATGGCCTTCCTTCTGATTGATTAATTCTATCAAGTGATCAGATAGTTTACATGATACGTACTAAATTTTCCAATCTTCTCATAACTGCATCTACGAAAAATACTAGTCCCAGGTCCACTGGCATTCTGTTGCTCAGGTTCTACATCAGAAATACTGTAAAATCATTTCGAAAAATAAGGCTACAACATTTGTCCCAAATTGTCTCCTTTCAAAAACCAAGAGATTTTGATCTTTTCTTACCAATATGCACTAGTTAAAATATTCAAAAGATGTGTATTATCATTACTGCTTATAAATATCCCGAATATATTAATTTGAAAATATACAACAACAAGTTTCTACTACGTTACAGTTTAAATTGATACATGAATTCCGATCACTGCCACATTCAGTGGACTAAGTAGTCTCTCTGGATTTGTTGTTGACTATGAAACCGATGCTGACACTTGTAGACATAAAGCTTCAAAAATATTAGTTGAATATTTTATGGGTCTTTACCAAGTGTTCTAGTGTCCAGTCTAAGTATATTCCCATGCCTAATAAAAACTAAATTTATGTTTGGAGTGAGAATGAAGGGCATATCACGTTGATGTTATTTCACTGATCGTAAACCAATTTAGTAGTTTGGATAAAAATGGTATTTTTGGTCTGTTGACATTACGAGAGATATGCTACTTCATGGTCTTTTATCCACGCTGCATGGGTTGGAATTTTCAAATTTTTGATAAAAACTAAGTGCATTTTCGTCCAAAATTAACGAAATGTTCTTGAAACTTCTTTTGGAAGTGATATGTTTGTGACATGCAGAATCATAAGTTCATACACAAAGCAGCTCTGAATAGATTTTTTCAGATAACCTAAAATTCTAGGAAACAAAGAAATACCATATCGCTAACTCGTCAATACTCCGTTTTTGTTACTACGGTGACATTGAAGTCAACAGTTTCTAGACTTTTTGGGTTCAATGGTCTGAGTACGTTTTCTGTATCAACTCTTCAATTTCAATAGTATGCATGTATGAATGCGTTATTCAAGCATCCCTTAGCCTCAGTTTTGATTAAATCCAAAGGAACTTGGTAATTGGTTTTGAAACATAACCTGTTGACAATCAGACAACTGACTAGGATCACAGGAGTAGTAACCCCGCTATCTACAATAATCACATCCTATTTCTCTGAACATTTTGAAAGAGACAACAAAGATATTCGTGGTGACAGTTAACACAAAAACAGATGTAAGAACTAGCGACAGTAAAACTCCACAGTCATGGTTTTCTTTTTCGGTTTTGTTTTAGTGAGCAAGTCAAGATACCAGATTGACTACGCTCACCACTAAATGTTTCATACGGTTCCTTCATTCATATAAAAAAAATCCATGGTCCAATGTTTTATTGGAGAAGACAGTAGGCATTACATCGGGAACAGCAAATAAAGAAAATTGGCAGCAACTCGAAGAGAACGTTGCGCGCAAGAAGTAGTAGAAGTGTTTTTGTACAGTTAAACAAAACGAGTACAATAATGTTTATTTTTCACAAATCGTATTTTCCTCATAGAAGCGTCCCACTACATAGTTACGTGTAGAATGTTTCTTCATGTTCGAACAAATTTTCAAGAATGGCTGACTTACACGTAAAACAGAAAAATACTAATCGTTTCAAAATACTCAAGTGATCTCTTTATTCTTTAGGATGGTACATATAACATTGGATGTAAGCATGGCTCTCTTTTTCTCAGTTATGATTTTATTATGAAAACTATAAAGAACAGAAATATAAGTTTTGCACGTTAGTTATTTCCATAACTAATTGTGGTTATGTCATAACTAACCAATCAAATCGTGGCTTAAGCGCCCACCACGTGATCTGAACTGACGTGTCTGTAAACTTTCTTTCTCCGTCCTACTTTATGGCTGTGAAACATGGCCAATGAGAGTAGAAGATATTCGTAAGTAAGCAATTAATTAATTAATTAAGTGGGTAGTCTCTCTCTTTACTCACTCCGATTACTTCTAATACCTTTACTACCTCTTCTACTATTGGATTTGAATTGACAATTACATCTCTGTGCTGATGTGGTATGGCAACATGAACTGATGTACTTACATACGAAGTTCTACGTTGCAACTGACTGACTATTAGTTCGATTGCGACAAACAAATAAGATAAGCCTACGATTACTTATTTAAGCTTTGTTACTGTAATCGTGAAAAACTAATGGACAAAAAAAGTGACTAATTCATTTACACATCTGATTCCCAAATCAACTTTTCAAAATGATACCTATTAAAACGCCTGAACTAATGTGAGAAATATCAGTCAGTCAGTTATAATCTAAAACGTCGTATGTACGTACGTAGAGCAGTTCAAGTTTCCATACTACATTAGCACAGAGATATAATTGTCAATTCAAATCCCATAGTAGTAGAGGTAGTAGAAGTATTAGAAGTAATCGGAGAGATTAGGGTTCGAAGATGTTATTCAAGAAGTATGATTCAGTGAGGCAAACTTAGAAAGAGAAAGATAGAGGTGATGAGGAATTCAGGTGAGGATTTGAGAGAATAAAAAGAATATATGCACCTACGCCACTGCAAACGGTTTTGAGCCATGTCGCTCAGGGCCTGTAACCATCGATTATTGTCATCTCGCGGACCCCAACCACGTAGTTGACACGACTCAGTCCACCTGTCAGTGACTTCATGGATTTCTGCCATATTTTGGTCTGGCCGCCCCTAGCTTTCGTCCAGGATATTCCTATATCGCAAAACGTAGCTCGACGAGGTAGTCGGTGGTTGGACATACGCAACACATGCCCCAACCACTTCAACTGATGAAGTCTCAATACTTCATCTACCGATTGATAATTCGATCAATTCAAATCCCATAGCAGTAGTGGTAGAAGCGGTAATCAAAAAGATTAGTTATCGAAGACATCGTTTGAGAAGAAGTAATCTAGTGAAATAAGCCTAAAAAGAGAAATATAGAGGTGATGAGGCATTCAGCAGACTGTAATTTGAGAGAACGCAAGGAGTGGATGCAGTTGCGTCACTCTGCAAACGGTTTTGAACCATGTCATTCAAGTTCTCTAAACCATCGATTACTATCATCTCGCGAACCCCAACTAGGTAGTCTACACTTACCAACACATGACTCAATCCAGTTCTCAGTAGCCTCATAGATTTCTGCCATGTTTTGTTCTGACCACCATTAGCTTTCCTCCAACCAACTACTCTAGACCAGAAAACATAAGAATACATTCTGCCTTTTTGCCAATTATTTGATTCTTTATTTCATAAGAAATATATTTTTTATTTAAGTTACATCACAAAATTGAATATTGAAAATTTTGTAATTTCAGTGAATATATTACATAAAATTCATTAATTGTTTTAAAGTTCATCAGCATAAATATCCATTTTATTTTTGATAAGGAAAAAAACAAAGTTTTTAAAACAAAACACAACTAGAAATCATGAAAAAGGAAAAATCAATACTTCAAGTAAATAATAAATAATATTATTATGCATTGTTTGTCATTGAACAAAAAAAAAGAAAACCGATTGAATATTGAAGCGCAAAAATTGACTCAATATATTAATTTTTATTATCGATTAATGCTGCTATCATTGATACTTATACGAACGATATAAGTAGTATAAGAAGGAACGTAAAAGAAGAAGTCTCACAGTCAGAAGAGGAAAACGCAAAGCAAGAAATAAATAGAGTACCAACAGGAAGTAAAGGAAGCAACAACAGGAATTAATGAAGAAGGATGGAGCGTTGGAAATCACAACTCAAAGATGGTGTGCAAATAGAGTGTTCAATGTAATGTTGTCGTTTTTAATTGACGAAGAGTGTAAATTTGCATAATACAATCTTCCGCGCCTGCCTCAGTAGTAGTAGTAGAATGGCATAAGCCACCCAATTTCTCAACACTTCAAAATATCACATAAACTATAGTGATTATATGTAACTTCATAGTTATAAGACACAGTTACACGAATCAATCATCCAGTTGAGAAGCCGCCGCTGACGCCACCAGCTGGTTTGGACCCAATTCATTTCGTATGAACAGTAGGAATAATAGTTATTCACTACTAACAGAGCTCACAAACCCATATGTATAATATATATTAAACTAATCAAATGTTGTATACATCAAAATAAGTAGTATAGCAGTAGTATACATACAATGAAGAATAAAAAGAAATCACAACAACAACAACAACAACAATAGAAGTGATAAATTCAAAGTTTTTGTTTCGTAAACAAAAAATTCCTTTTCATAAAATATTACGTTTATTCATTAAATACATTAAAGTATTCATAGCTGCATCTAAATATGACAATGTTTCTTGTAATTTTGGCATAACACATTCAATCTAAAAGAGTAAAGAATAAAGAACAATGAGGGGAGGAAAAAACCAGACAGACAAACTTACACTTACAGGCGAAAAATGAAAAAAAGTGAGAAAATTCTCAAATCAAAAATAAAATAATTGTGAAACTGATACAAATTCTTGTGATTATTGATTCATTCATAGAGCGGGCTAGTGTTGCACACTCAGAGAATTGTAACGCCTTTGAAAGTTTACTGTTGGGGATGTTAGATCCCCAGAACTCGTTTGATAAATATCTTTATTTTGGATTTATTTCATGGACCAATCGGTTGACCCTGAGATCGCATTCCCCACGAGAAAAATCATTGTCTGTGATTGGTTACTGTGTTATTTTTGTGACTGACCCAAGGACGTCTCTATAGAGTATAAATAGACGCGATTTGAGTGCTTGGATTCATTGTGTGCTGGCTAGGTGTTTGTAGAATATAATTTCTACGCTATATCAAGACTTTTTGCTGATACAGTTGGGACAACCGGATCAGAGTAGCCTACCTGGACAATGGTTCATTGTTTTGTTCTCGTTATTCAACTAAGGTGAACCCGTAATAGTTTTAAGCATACCTAGAGACGAGTATAACACATACTCTATCAACTCTTAGTCTCGTTTATCAGGTTGTCCTCATCTCATGCTGGTTTCGATTTCTTGTGGCTGTGTATTTATTACTCTATTTTATGTAAGTGCATTTTCCATGTGCTTACTGAGTCTGAGTCGTCGGCTCATCTTTTCCTCTTATTCTTTCTTCTTCCTGATAATCTCTCCTCCCACAACCCCCCGGCACGTAAGATACCTCCAGGTTAAACGCAAACCAACCAAAAGCTGAAGTTACAGAGTCATTTTAATGTCATAATTTACTCTATACTTGTATCTTCCATCTGGTACGTTATACTGTTATGTTACATAATTAATTTTTCTCTATAGCATATGGTTGCGGATGATTGGAGTTGCTTAAAATTTGAATTTTCAAAACACATCAGTTAAACTAACGATGAGAAAATAGGCTAAACTGCTGGCGAACACGACAGGAAAGATGACGATCTTACAATGAATTGATTATTGGCTAAAATAGCTTAATTTTTTGAATTTTACAAAACTCCAGTTCTTTAAAGTGCTTTCATTCCAATCTAGATAAAATAATTCTCTGTCAGTTACGTATAACAAATATTTTTCCCTGTAATTTCATCTAAATATGTTTAATGACATAAGAATCATTAAATTTATTTGGAAGCATGACGATTGTGTATTATTTTTCTCACATAACCCCTACATCTGGAAAGATGACAACTTTGTCAAACATTCAGTACAATCATGCTCTTATGAATATGAGGGCGGATATTTCCTCCGTGCTGCCCACATTGTGGAAGGGTTCTGGTTGTCAGAAGGGGCATCGGCCTCATGACTGTCGAAGGAACTCGGCTATCATCATGAGACGTAATCACTCTTCTAAATGAAGACCTAACTCCCAGAGCACGGTTTATATGGTTTGAATTATTTTCTCTTGTTAACGTTTTTTTAGCGAGTTAGTTTTCTGCGTGATGCGGCCGCCCACCCCAACCTTCCTCCTTTATCCGGGCTTGGGATCGGCAGTAGCCCCGAAAGGTCTACAGGCAGAGTTGACTTTTAGCGCAACTATTTTCCAACTGCGCAAATATTGAAATTTAAATTTGGTTGGTTGTAGAAACGATAAATCGGAATTTAAACATCTAGACTTATCGAAAATGTGAATCAATTGAATACAGATGTCGGATATTGATCGCCAAAAAACATTGACTAAAAATTTTTCATGAATTTTTACAGTTTGAACGTATATGAAGAATAGATTTGTAGTAGTACAATCAATGTTGAGAATTCTTTACTGTGTAACAGAATTTATATTATCGAATACAGTGAATTTAGTGTTAAAATGTTGGGTTCAAAGATAGCACGCCTTACGTTGTCAGTGGTGGTAAGGCCTTTAAAGTACTTAGATACAACATCAGGAACACCTCAAGAAAAGAGTGTATGATCAGCCTTCAGCAACTATCCCTCGGACTATATAATCTCTAATACTATTTATCCAGTGTCCTTTGAGGGCTCCAGAAAAGCTCTGGGAGTGGATAGGACACACATTGAGGAAAGCATAGAACTGCATTATAAGGCGGAAGGAAAAGAGTGTTGGAGATGTTAGATCCCCAGAACTCGCTTGATTAATGCCTTATTTTGGACTTAACGTTTGCGAGCATGGGCTGATCAGTTGATCTAGAGATTTAATTTCCCACCAGGAAAATACTTCGCTGTGATTGGCTGCTGAGTGTGCTATTTTCGTAACTGTCCCAAGGACGTTTCTATGATGTATCAATAAACGAGAGTTGTGTGCTTCATTGTATTGTGATTGCTGGGTGTTTGTAGAATATATTTTCTACGCTTACCAAGTCTTCTGTTTTGCAGTTTGGTATTCAAGGTAGCCTACCTGTTGGCTGGTAATTGTCTCGTTCGCGTTTATCGACTAAGGTGAACTCGTAATAGCTTCAAGCGTACCAAGTGACTAACATAACGAAGAGGAAGGTCAAGGAACACATTAAGTCGAGAATCGGAGACAGACATAAGAAGAATGAAGAACAATTCAACAGAGCTAGAAAGGAAAACGGAGGACAGAGTAAGTTGGAGAATGCTACTCGGCGGCCTATGCTCCCTTGGAGGTAGTAACAGGCGAAAGTCAGTAAGAGAGTAGTTTTATTTCAACTTCATATTCACTAGTCGGTTTAATGTTGATCAAAAATCAAATTACTACATATACACGGTTTTATAGTAAAAATCAGTGTTACGATTATGTTGTCTGGAGTCGAAACATGTAGTACAGAGACTTCTCTGTCTACTACTTAATTTGATCAAAACGGTTATTAGCTTCAGTTACGCCTGTTGTTATGTGTCTTGCATAAGCCGCCAACCAATAATCTTCAATTTAGTCTGTTCTAGGTTTTCTTTTCCAATTGTTTCGTCTACTATTCATTCCTTCGATGGCTGTCTCCAATTCCCAACATCATGTAATCTTTTATCAGCTAATCTACCTTTTTCTTTTTAAGGATTCCAAGCTAAGACTTGTTTTATGGTGTAGGTTGATCATAATTTTTAAAATATATGCACTATGTCACACCTTCCTCATTTAATTAAGTCATCAAAGATGAAAGCAGGCGAAATAGACATCGTACAACTAACTACACGATCAGAGTTACTTATATAAGTCAGTCAGTCAGGTGCAACGTAGAACTTCGTACGTAAGTACATCAGTTCGTGTTGCCATACCACATTAGCACAGAGATATAATTGTCAATTCAAATCCAACAGTAGAAAGGGGTAGTAGAGGTAGTAGAAGTAAGGATTAGAAGATATTATTCCAGAAGTATGATTCAATGAGATAAGGTTAGAAAGACGAAACTAGAGATGTTGAAGAATCTAGAAGATTAGGATTTGAGAGAATACAAAGAATAAATGCACCGGCGCCATTGCGAACGATTTTGAGCCATGTCATTCAAGGTCTCTAACCATTGGTGACTTTCATCTCGTGGACCCCAACCAGGTAGTCTACATCTATCAACATGACTGAGTCCACTTCTTAGTGACTTTATGGATTTCAGCCATGTTTTGGTTTGGCCGTCCCTAGCTTTCTTCTAACCTACTCCTACACTACAAAACAAAGTTCGTCGAGGTAGTCGGTGGTTGGGCATACGCAACACATGTCCCAACCACCTATATAAATGAAAAAATGACTGAGCATTTTTAAAAAAAATAACTCATCTATGTGTGTATGTAATAATAGTGCTGCTAGTGGATTAGAGTAGTACTTTATATGAAAATGTATTCACAATGTATTATTGAATTGTGCAAAACAACAACTTACACTTGAACGATTTAAAACTTCCCATCGTTTATCTAAACTATTATAAACTAAATTATACGCAGCAAATACCAATGAACATCCACGTATAAATAGGCTTAAAACAACATCTTTCGGTATTGGTGGATAGAAACATTTCTAGAAATGTGAAGAAATGAAACAGAAATTGAAGAAAAATGAAGAAACAGTCAATAAATTTGATCAACATTGAGGTTTAAACGAGAAAAAAATATATAAACAAGAAAGTAAACAAAGTACATGACAAGAATTTCAGGATAAACATACACGAATCACTTGCTAAACGTGACCGCTAAGAGTAGAGGACATTCTCGTAGGTTATTAGTATTCGATTATAGGTATCTCCGAAACATTGCTCGTTTATCCAGGGACAACTGAGTAAGCAATGATGTTGTTAGGAAACGAGTACTAGGTAGAGATGACAGATCAATTGATGAAGTGCTGAAACTTCATCAGTTGAGGTGGTTGGGACATACATGTGTTACGAATGCCCAACCACTGCCTCGAACAGCTACGTTTTGTGGTGTAGGAGTAGGTTGGAAGAAAGTTAGGGACGGCCAAACCAAAACATGGCACCAATCCATAAAGTCACTGACAGCTGGACTGAGTTATGTTGGTAGACGTAGACTACCTGGTTGGGGTCTTCGAGATGAAAGTCACCGATGGTTAGAGAGTTTGAACGACATAACTCGAAAGCGTTTGCAATGGCGCACGTGCATTTATTCATTGTGCACTCTCAAATCCTAACCTCCTGAATTAATCATCATCTCTATTTTTCTCTTTCCAAAGTTATTTCACTGAATTATACTTGTTGAATAGTTTCTTCGAATACTAACCTCCATTTCCGCTAATACTTCTAATACCTTTACTTCTTTGGGAATTGAACTGACAATTGCGTCTCTGTGCTCATGTTGTATGGTAACTTGAACTTAAGTACATACGTACCAAGTTCTACTTTGTAACTGACTGAATAACTGAGAGTCATATATTTCCCAAATAGCTATGAATACACATTACAATGATTCATTTTGCATTAAACGAAAGCTTCAAATAAGTAGAGAGTATAAAAATACAACTCCGTCTGGAGCCTTTTTATAGTTATTACTGATCTCAAGGCTAGATAAAGGTGGACGTTCGGACATGCATGGGGTTAGCGACCCACTGATCTCATAGAAGACCAACTTGCTAAAATAACCCTAACCAGGAATAAATAACAAAAATACAATACTTTAAACGTTTGTTTACTAATTATCCTTCGTATAATAATAATCTCAAATAATGCTGCAGTCAGTCAGTTGCAATGTAGAACTTCCTACGTATGTACATAAGTTCATGTTGCCGTACCACATTAGCAAACAGAGACGCAAATGTCAAATCGAATCCCATAGTGATAAAGATAGTAGAGGTATTAATGGTAATGAGGAAGACTAGGGTTTGAAGATATTATTCAAGAAGTATAATTCAGTGAGTGAGATAAGGTTAGAAAGACAAAGGTAGAAGTGCTGACGAATCCAGAAGATTAGGATTTGAGAGAACACAAAGAATAAATGCACCGAAGCCATCGCAAACGATTTTGAGCAATGTTGTTCAAGAACACTGCATATTTTATTAGACAAATATGACACTGAAATAATAAGTGTAATATATATATACGCACAAACACAGACATTTATTTCTTACACGACTAGGATTAGCCAAATGTTCTTCAATTGTTTTACGTGGTGGTTGAGTTAAACAATCTTTAGCATCACGAATACATGAGAATAATTCAAATAAAAACTACAATAGAAAATTAAAAAAATAAGATAATCAACATAAATTCTAACTTCATAAACAAGTGCAATATTTACATTAGTTAGTCAGTTAGTCAGCTACAACGTAGAACTTCATACGTACGTACGTCAGTTCAAGTTGCCATACCGACACATTAGCACACAGAGATGAAATTGTCAATTCAAATCCCATTGTAGTAGTAGAGGTAGTAAAAGTATTAGCAGTAATCGGAGAGATTAGGGTTCGAAGATATTATTCAAGAAGTAGAATCTAGTGAAGGAAACTTAAAAAGAGAAAGATAAAGGTGATGAACTCTAAAGGTTAGGATTTAAAAGAAAATATTCACATTAAGACGCTTATACAGTTAGAGTGGCTCCCAGAAGCCCCCACAGACTCCGGACAAGCTTAAAAGTTTCTATTCAACCACAACTCGACAGAATTTCTAGAATGCCAATGTGATAATAAGGTGGCTGGATACTGATGTAACACTGTTATTTATTAGACGGGATAATTTGATTGGTGTTTTTACTATACTATACGAAAAACTATATATTATCCACATGGGTTCGTTGTACAACTTGAAGTAAACCGCTCTCCCCATACTTCACCTTTCCTCTTATGTTAAAGTCAGATTTATTCTAAGGTTGTTAGAAGCAGAAATGAAACCAGATCTTGCATTCACGACCGAAGCTGCTACCTTGACGTGGTGGTCGGGCTTGACTAACGTGATGACCCAACCGGTATATACTGGCTGGAACATATGTTCCTCAAGGTTCTACCATGCCAGGCAGGTCGATTGCAGAACGATGAGACTAAAAGCAGCTACTCAAGGTCTCAGGGCGAAGTCGTATTGCTGATTGCAGAGGCATATGACAGCAGTAAGGTGTTTCCCTCGGACAATCAGCATCTGCAGCGATTCTGCCTTCTTACAAGGAAGGAAGGGTTAGAAAAGGTCGACCCAAAAAAACGTCACACCTCACCATACCTCACGGATTTCCGTCTCCGGCGGTAAGGGTGCCCACTAAGGGCTTTCAAGAGCGGAGCTAATACTCAAAAAACCCTTCATAAAAAGGCCGTGCGTGAATGGCCTGAAGTAGTTGTCCCTTGAGCTCTGCGATCGCGCTCCCAGGTCTCTAAGACCAACCCTTATCTATCTTCCTTTTCAAGTCTCTCAAGAAACAACCTTCCACTGTGTGGGCAGCCGGGAAGTGACAACCGCCCTCATGCCGATAACAGCACACGAGACTGAATTGGTCAGATCTGGCATTCATTTAACAGATTCATTAAACATATGAAAAATAATAGACAATTTTCAAGTTTTTTTTGTCTATTGATAACAACTGAAAAACTCAAAAGAATTAGGATTAGTTCTAGGAGTTGAACAGTATGTAATGCGTTGCTATTTCATTTGATAAGATAATTTCTTAGTCAATAATTTTAAATTGATTTAAAGTTTCTTTTGTTCAGAAATTTCAAGTCAGTATTATATTAAAGAGAATGAGAATAAAAGTGAATGTAAAAGGTAAAATTGTTATGTTATGAATAACACAATGTCAATTAATTCAAGTTACAAAGTATGAAGTACCGTTTGTACAAAGCAATGTACAATCAATGTATTTTTGTGAATCATTCATCTAAATGCAAGTAGGTAATCATAAAACTAAGAAATTTAGAGCAGAGAAAGAATAGGACTGATTGTAGGGGTGCTCAATATAATATAAAATTATGATAGGCTATGTTTTGTGATATAGGGGTAGGCTAGAAGAAAGGTATGGGCGACCTGCCCAAAACATGGCACAAATCCATCAAATTACTGACAGATGTACTGAGTAATGTTGGTAGATGTAGGCTACCTGGTTGGGGTCCGCGAGAAGAAACTCACCAATGGTTAGAGACCTTGAATGACATAACTTAAAATTATTCTTGATGGCGCAGATGCATCACTCTTTGCCTTCTCTCATGACCTAAAGATTTCAGGACATTTTCTTGTCTCTTGTTAAATTCATTACACTGGATTATAGTCGTTGAACAATGTCTGCAATCCCTAATCTTTTCAATCATTGCTTCTACCTCTACAATGCTATGGGATTTGAATTGATAATTCGATCTCTCTGTGCTAATGTGGTATGACCACTTGAACTGATGTACATACGTACGAAGTTCTACATGGTAGAGATGTCTAACTGACAATCATGACAGAGATTGTTATTCAATTTAAAGGATTATCAACAACGTTATCGACTATGGAAAATATAGAAATTTAGTGAGTAAAGCAGAAATAGATACATCAAGGATTGGCCAGCTTAATTTCATTTACCCTATATACATTCTACCATGATTGCGAAATAGGAGAACGGGAAACCTAAACATCAACATCAGTCAGTTACAACGTATAACTTCGTACGTAAGTACATCAGTTCAGGTTGCCATATCTGATTAGCACAAACACGCAATCGTCAGTTCCGATTCCACAGTGGTACAGAAATTAGAAGAAATACTGGTAATGAAAAAGATTAGGGTTCGAAGATATAATTCGAGAAGTATAATTCAGTGAGATAAATTTACAAAAAGAAAGATACAAGTGATGAGGAATTCATAAGATTAGAATTTCAGAGAAAACAACGAGTGGATGCACCTATGCCATAGCAAACGATTTTGAGCCATGTTATTCAAAGTCTCTAACCATCTGTTACTATCGTCTCGCGGACCTTAACCAGGTAGCCTATATCAACCCGTAACCATACACAAAACCGAATCGATCACAATCAAATCAAAACACATTAACATCACTGCCTATCAAAATACATTGGAACTTTCTCGACAATCTATAACCATATTAGGATACATATATATATACATATATTCATTATATTGATAAGAGATAGATATGTATATACCAGATAAACTTACCGATCGATTTTCAATGAGATCATTGAGATTAGTGATAATTTTAGCTGATTTTATCTTTTCAATGCATTTCGTAGTATAATTTAAACAATCTTGTATCTTTTTATTTGGAAAGAAAAAAAAACAATTCAATGTATTAATTGTTAGTGAAATCATTTATAGAGATATGTAATTTTAAAAAGAGAATAGCCAATGAGAATATGATTTTTACTAAACTATTATTGGCAAAGAAGTAAAGAATATAAACGAACCAATTGGATTTCGGTGTGAAATTTATTTATTTACACAATGGCTACTTCAGTCAGCTACACCACATAGAACTTCGTATGTACGTATGCATATCAGTTCAGGTCGCCATACCACATTAAAACAGTGAGATGTAATCGTTAATTCAAATACCATAGTAGGAGAGGTAGTAGGAGTATGAGCAGTATAATCGGAAAGATTAGGGTTTGAAGATGGTAGTCAAGGGTTAAAATCTGATGAAATAAATTTAAAAAGAGAAATATTAAAGTGATGAGGAATTCAGGTTAGATTTTGAGAGAACACAAAGAGTGGCTGCACCTGCACCATTGCAAATGATTTTGAGACATCTCGTTTAAGATCTATAACCATCGATTATTATTCTTGTGCACGAAAACTCAGGTGAGGACATCAACAATATATTTAAGCGAATATTACAGAGTTGTTAGGCATATTTACAAAACCCTCCCGAGAATCATCATTTGCAAATCAATCCTTATTTGTTTCAGATTTCAGTGTTCTTTGATTTAGACTGTTCAGACTTCAGTTCACATTACGTTACCTACAAATCGCCTTTTGTTCTCATTCTTTCCTTCTCGATCTTTTGCTGCCAGACGTTTGATATCATATACTACTTATGTGAACATAAGTAGCGTACACCACACTATCACCTCGCGAACCCCAACTAGGCAGCCTAAACCTACAAACATAACCCAATCCAGTTCTCAGTAGCCTCATGGATTTGTGTCATGTTTTGGTTTGACTGCCCCTACCTTTCTTCAAGCCCACCTTTACACCACAAAACATCGCTCGTCTAGGCAGTCAGTGACTGGGCATACGTAACTTATGTCCTAACCACTTACTTCGGTTAATGAAGATTCACTATTTCATACATCACAAAGGTTTGTTTATTCATGTTAGAAATTGTTTATTCATTGTATCAAGAATTGTACAGCTTTATAAGTCGTCTTACAATAAGAAAAAAAAACACTATTTTCGTGTTAAGTAAAAAAAATATTTCCAAATTACGCATATACTACTTTACTTTCACTAAAGTAGTTTATACATCACAGAATGACGAAATAATAATAATGAACTTCGACTTATGTCAAATAAACAAAATTTTTATGTGATTATTCTTTCGTAAGTCACAACACATCAATGAATAGGTTACAATAAATAACATACACATATACGTCACAGAACAACATTTAGAAGAGGAGAAAACAAAGGAATTGAATAATAACTAAACCGTTGTTATCATTAAAGATGATCATTTCTCAAAACAGCGTAGATTGAATATGATTGTGATGATGTGTTGTGTGACGTTGAAATTAAAATAAATGTGATTGGCCAGCAAGCGTGGACAAACAGCCATAGCGCATTACAACTGACTATTGTTAGACAGGTGGTGTTTGGTTCTCTGAGTTGGATAGAAGTCTGAAGTTTGTGCTGATGATGTTTTCCAGAAGAACGATGAAAGCTCCACAACCAAAAACTCCAACTCAGAGAACCAAAAACCACCACCACAATCATCCACCTGAGCTGCAAATCTTCTCCACCATCTCAGGTGATTGCCTTTTGTGTTATTGACTTATGCTCTGAATGGACAGCTTAGTGATTGTGTGCAATAAAAACTCCCTTCCAGATCTGGTTATTTTGTGTATTTGGTTGAATGTGTGATTCTAGGTCTCTTCTCTGTGTAATGTACTATTTGAGTAATTAGTACTTACTTACGCCAGTTACCACCGATGAAGCATAGATCGTCGACCAGCCTTCCTTTCTAGTTCTGTCCTATTTCTATCTGTCTCCGATTTGCGACGTAATGTGTTCCTTGGTCTTCCTCTTGCCCTTTTACCTTGAGGGTTCCAAGTGAGGGCTTGTATAGTGACACAAGTGGTGATTTGCTCAACGTGTGTTCTATCCACCTTCAGAGCTTCTACCTGATTTCTTGGTCGGCTGGAATCTGATTTGTTTTCTCCCACAGTAGGTTGTCGCTGATAGTTGAGTAACTAACTGGTGACTGGATTTCTATAGAGTCTTGTTATTTTTAATTGTTTCGACTACCTATCATGGATTTCGATTAAATATTTTATCATAAACCGATTATTTTATTAAACACAGCTCAACCCTAAACAAGATTACTACATTTTATGGATTCATGACGATCTTACGTCACAATCTAGCCTGCATTCAACTTCCTTTCCATTTATTACATAGTTTGTACGATGTGTACTAATATTGAGATGGTGGAGAAAACTTGTAGCTCAGGTGGATGATTGTGGTGGTGTTTCGTTCTCTGAGCTGGTTGTTTTGGTTGTTGAGGCCATATGGCTAGTCTCAGCTTTCGGACAAACGAACTGACTTTTTCTATCTCAGTCATAATTCACATATCTTCTGATGTACCACCTTGTCAATCATTCGCTCATAACTTTTAGTTGTTCTTACTTGAGTGTGTGCGCCGCCTACTTCACTTGTCACATGTCTAGTTCATTTGTGCTTAACTAGAAATACTTAGTCACGTCCTCATAGTACGAAGTTGACTAACCCGACTTCCTCACTTCACTCGGCTTTGCTTTTACACTTTTCATTCTCATGTCTATATATATATATATATATATATATATATATATATATATATATATATATATACATGAACGACTGTATGAAATAAACTCATGCAACTGAAACAGTGTTTGGTGTCTAATTAACGCCGTTGCACAAACGGGATTCGTCTAAGTATGATATGTGGAAACTGAAAGATTTATTTAATCGCATACCCGATTATTTGTATACATTGGAGTCATCCGAGGAGCCATGAAAATGGTGAGCCCTTCTTCGAGTTCAATGCAGTCACTAAATTATGTTGGTAGGTATAGACTACCAGGTTGGAGTCTACGAGATGGTTAGAGACCTTGAATGACATGGCTCAAAATCGTTTGCAATGGCGCAGGTGCATCCACATTTTGTGTTCTCTCACACTCTAATCTTCTGAACTCCTCATCACCTGTAGCCTTCTCTTTGTGGATTTATTTCATTGGCTCATACTTCTTGAATAATATCTTGTAATCCTAATCTCTCCGATTACTGCTAATACTTCTACTATCTATCTCTAATACTATGAGATTTGAAATGATAATTCCATCTCTCTTTGCTAATGTGGTATGACAACCTAAATTGATGTACGTATACAGGAAGTTCTACGTTGTAAGTGAATGAATGACTGACAGCCACTAATGCAGTTAACACGACATTGAATCTAACGCAGGCACTCAAAGTTCAATCAAACTAATTGATCAAAGCGTACCATTTCAAATCGAAATCACTAACTGTTAGAAGATAACATGATAGGAATCATAAAATAACAGATGAGGAGATTTAAGTGTTGACATTGATAAATAAAGAATACCAATAATAATACAGAAATGAATTTCAGTACTAAAAGGAAAAGATAACACAATTGATATACACAATAAGGGTAATGAATAATTTCAGGATTGATGATTGGCTTTATGATAACAATATACATTGAAACGTAGTTCTACTGTATGGAGCGAAAACTTGCAAAACTACATAAGTCATCATTTAGAAGATACAAGTGTTTATTAAAAGTTGTCTACGCAAAATACTTCGGATTCGTTGGCCAGACATGATCAGCAACAACTTACTGTGGGAGAGAACAAACCAGATTCCAGTAGAGGAGGAAATCAGGAAGTGGTGGAAGTGGATAGGACACACACTACGAAAAGCACCTAACTGCGTCACAAGACAAGACCTCACTTGGAGCCCTCAGGGCAAAATGAAAAGCGGAAGGCTAAGGGATACAATACGCCGAGAAATAGGGAAAGATATGAGAGGAATGAACAAACATTGGACAGAACTGGAGAGGGAAGCCCAGGACAGAGTTGGTTGGAGAAAACTGGTGGGCGGCCTATGCTCCATTGGGGATGAGAGGAGTAAGTAGGTAAGTAAGTAAAACATTGAAACGTAAAACTGTACAGTTATATACACATTCACTGACCTGTTGTAATTTATACGGTGATCCATAATTATCTTTTATGATAGAATGATATGGTGTTGATGAATTGGTACGATGAACTTTCAAATCCTATTATGAAGAAAAAAAAGACGGATAACCAATAGACAATCTAGATGAATTCATTTATTGAATTTAACGTCAGTATAGGTCGTGTTTTTAGGGGTGTAAGAAAGAATTTCATTGTGATCAATTCGGTCTCATGTGCAGTTGTTATGAGTATGAGAGTGGATGTCATTTCCAGGATACGCACACTGTAAAAGGTGCTTCTTTTCAGGAGCCTGAAAAGGAAATCAGATTAGCGTTGATCGTAGCGACATGAGAGTGCAACCACAGAGCCCAAGTGACAACTGCTTTGAGGCCGGTAACACACGGCCTTTCTATTGGAAGATTTTGAAGTGTGAGATCTGCTCTTCGAATGGCTTTACCGCCGGAGACAGAGATAAGTGAGGTAAGGTGAGGTGTGACAATTTTTATCGTCGACCTTTTCTAACCCCTCCCCTTTTTGTGAGCAGCCAGTATCGCTGCAGATGCTGAATGTCCGACAGAAACACCTTACTGCTTTCAAACCCCTCTATAGTCAGCCTTCAGACCTCGAGTTGAGTTGCAGCTTTTAATCTCGTCGTTCTCCAAATGACCTGCCTGGGACGGTTGAAACGGAGGACAATGAGTTCATAATATTGTGTATTACTAGACAAAAACACTATTTTTGGTTTAGTATATCATATAACACAGCTTTTGATGAGACTAGATTATATCTGTTGTTTGTATTCGAATTTACCTCTAAAACGTTGTTTTCACATTAATATTCAACTGTCAATGTGTCGCAATCAATAAAACGGGGTTAATACAGTTACAAAAGACTAAGTTTCATTATAGAGTTGTAGAGATTGTTGAATTACTTTGAAATCATGAATCGATTAGTGTTAGATCATCATTAGAAACCTGAAAGCACTGGACGATAATCGTTTCGTCCTGGTATGGGACTCATCAGCAATGAACTGATTGGAGTTAAACATCAACACCATTGGATGCGGCTCAGTGGTTGAAAGGTTAAACGTTCACACGCGAAACCGAAGGTCATGGGTTTGATTCCCGTGAGCAAGAGTCATAGATGCATATTTCTGATGAGTCACATACTAGGACGAAACGACCGTTCAGTGCTGCCAGATTTCTAATAGTAATCAAACACTGATCGATTAATGATTTCAAAATGATTAATTGACAGAGAGAGAGAAAGATAACAATTATAAGCTTTTTGAACAACAAAAACAACTCACAGCTTCATATACTAAATCACCAAACACTGACAGAACAGCACTGAGATGACCATATGCACTGAAATAATGAAGGAAATAATATTAAGAAGAAAATTCAGAAATACGTTACGAACTACAACGATTTTTGATAGGCGAAAAAAGACTTTTTTTCTAAAAAAAACACTTGAAACGTCATATGTATTAATATTTATCGCTTTAATTCAATGAGTTGAAGCGTGTAGGAATCGCCAAACGAAATGCATGAAAGGAAATAGCGTAGATAATTAAGAAATGACAAAATAGATAAGAGGCTCAGAACGGTGAAGGCAGAATTGACATTATATACAAGCATATATTAACATGACATAAATACTTAAATTTATCGTCAATCATGAAGGATCATTTTACATTGGTTTTCAGGAGAACCAAGGAGACTGACCATGTGGTAATACTAGAACGTGGACATTACAGCACAATCCTGCGGCGCGACCACACAGGTACCTGACAGCCTGATGGACCGTTCAAAACCATCTGTATACACCAATACATTAAGTTATTATTTCCAATCCATGATCAGTTCAATCAGTATGCACAGCATGAAAAGGGCCAAATTGAACCATCCCGCCTACATAACTGTCACAAACTCATTATTATTAGCAAGGCTAATATGCGATACAACGCGTCCTAATGACTATAGTCCTCGGGCATGTTGCAAGAAAATCACCAATGTATCTATGAAATTTGCATACGGACTATTCGCAAAACTTGCCAAACCATCCACAGTGTTCACAACGAACCTCCCATAGAAAACCTTCAGCCCTACATAATAGTACGGCATAGGATAGCAAGAAATACAGCCCAGATTGATGTAAATGGGCTCAAATACCTATTAACTCGGGTGATAATTTTTGCGTAATAGCAAAGTTTTCATTTTTGACCAAATGAGACCCGAGTTATATAACACACGACATTGAAGGTCATGGGTTTGATCTCTAAACAACGAGGACTGATAAAAAAAGTTCATGCTTGGACGAAACAGTTGTTGAATGCTTTCAGGTTTTGAATGATTGTCGGCTCTTTATCTCATTAACTCAATCAGGTCAGTTAACAATCAGCAAGCACATCGAGATTGATCCAATTTATCAACCAATCAGAAAAATTAGAGGGGAAAATTTGTAGCTCAGGTGGATGATTGTGGTGGTATTTCCTTGTCTGAATTGGATGTTTTGGTTGTGGAGCTTTCATCGTTTTTCTGAACGACATCATCAGCACAAACTTCAGACAAAAGTGAAGCATTTGAATTTCTCAATGTTTGACCTGTAGCTTGTTCTGCTAACCTCGATCTTGATTGATTGTTGTTGACCTTAAACCTGTCGTTGTTTGCACCTATGTTTTGATTGTATCCCCTTTTTGATCTGTTTCTTGATCATATGTCCCCTACGATTTTTTTGATTGGTTGATAAACTGGGTAAATTTCGACGTGTTTGTTGATTGCTGATTGACCTGAGTGTCAAGCTTCTAAAAATTCTTTGTTGCCCTTCGTCCTCAGCCTATCCAGTATTTCCACATTGTTCCAATCAAATCTATATCCATAATTGTTGGTGTGTGTTGATATAAGCGACGCGTTGCCGTGGCGTTTGACTGCTAACTGGTGTTCACGTAAATGAAGCTCAGAGAACGAAAGACAACACATAGGATCAATAAAAACAGATCAAAGGGAGATACAATCGAAATAAAGGTGCAAACAACGACAGGTTTAAGATATGTAATAACCAGTGAAGATTGAGGTCGGAAGAACAAGCTATGAGTTATATAAGTGCAGAAATTCGAATACTTCATTTCTGTTGGGGACGTTAGATCCCCAGAACTCGCTTGATAAATGTCTTTATTTTGGATTTTATTCATGGGTTGATCAGTTGACCTTGAGATTACATTTCCCACCAGGGAAATCCTTGGCTGTGATTGGCTGCTATGTTATTTTAGTATGCTATTTTTGTGACTATCCCAAAGACGTTTCTATGATGTATAAATAAACGCGATTGTGTGCTTGAAAAATTGTAATTGCTGAGTGTTTGTAGAATACACTTTCTACACCATATCAAGACTTTATCTTCAGTTAATTGGGACAACGGATCTGAGTAGCCTATCGTGTCATTGGTTAATTGTCTCGTTGTCGTTAATCGACTAAAGTGAACTCGTAGTAGTTTCAAGCAGAACAACTTCTCTATCTGAAGTTTATGCCAATGATGATGTAGTGGCACCACATGTATTCGGGTTCGCTTACATTTAATTTGGTTAAACCCTTTCGATTAATTTATTTTGAACCAAGCCATTAGTATAGCAACAATTTATAAGTACCATTCGTTCTTATTATTGTCTGGTTTGTATGAGCTCACTTGACGTGTCCCACTTGTCATTTGACCTTGTCAATCATTCGTCGCTTTTATTCATGTGTGTGCATGCCTATTTCGCTTGTCATGTCTGTCTTATTTTTGTCTGACTATAAATTCTTAGTCATGCTCTATTTCTAGGAGTTGGCTCACTAGCCTTCTCCACATCGCTTCATCCGTTCATTCGCCTATTCACTCGCTTGCTTGCTTTCCTGTGCTCGTATGACGATCTTATCTTTTAGCGCTTGTAGTCTGCTGTTCTATTTGTGGTGTGTCAAAAATAAACGTATTCAACACTTCGAGTTCACCTTCTGATTTATAAACCGTCAGACGCTAGTTAGTAACGATTGTCTGGACGAGATAATTACGATGCTTAAGAGCACATCGAAAACTGGCCACCACAAATCTGGTGAGTCCGCCATTGAATCTAACGTAGTCATCACAAACTGGTTAGCTCGACGTTTCCAGCATTAATTTGACGATTCCGACGACTAATCGAATACAAACAACCAGTTGTTAGTAATCTTGAGGACAAATCGAACAGAAACACTAACTGGAAATTTCGGAGCCGTGCATCGACAAACCAGCTCAGGAACAATGATATGTTGTAGTTCACAAAGAAGAAGCTTCACAACCAGCTCTCACAGTCAACAAAACTCTATCCACAAGAATTGAAATGTAATCAATGTAGGCTTAAACAAAACTAATACACATGTACACACAATATCAAATTTACCCTGGTGATCCTAAAATAAAACGTTCAGTTTGTTCCGGAATAGATTTCACTGTTAATTGATCTTGACAAGAAATTAAACAATATTCGACATGAGATAGAAAGTGTGCCTGTAAAAAAAAGAAATAGATGTATTTATTAATATTGTGGTACGTGCTACTTATAAGTAGTATATGACGTGAGTGTAAACGTAATGTCTGGCAGCAGAAGATGAGGGAAGATCAAGAAAGGAAGAGTGGGAACACAATGGAATTTGTATGAAACGCATGAATAAGTGAAATGTCAGACAATGGATTGAAGATTTGCAAATTAACTAACCGTTTACGATATGGTTTTCCTATTTTACTGAGTAACTCTGTAATTTGCGATAAATATAATTCGGTTGCCCTCACCTGTGTTCTCCTCCACTACATTGTGTTGTTTCACAAAAACCCAATGAACCAACCATAAAATGAAGAATAGTTTATGATTACTTTGATGAAGGAGTTATACTTTTATTCAATTCCCGTTGCCGTTTCATTGGTCAAATTGTAAACCTCTTTATCGATTAAGACAACTATGTTATCTAAGCATTGAGATTTTAACCTAGTCATCACATTACTCTGTTGTTGTGTTAAATGTAAAGTATGACGATCAGTCAAAGTTATGCGAGTGGATGTCACTTTCCGATGTCACCCATACCGTGGTGAGGTATTTTCTTGAGGAATCTTGTAAAGGAACTTGGTCTTAGCAGCCTAGAAGTGTAACCACAAGGACCAAGAGACAACTGTTATGAACCGGTCGCATACAACTTCGTTGTTTCAAAAAGGACTTACTGCTGTAGACGGAAATTCTTAAGGGTAAGGGTAAAGTGTAACATTTTTTAAGATCGACCTTTACTGATCCTTTCCGTTGTTTGAAAGAAGCACTGTACTAGACGCTGGACTGTACCAAATCTTAGATTATCATCTATAAAGAAACTTATTACACAACAATTTTAAATCAGAGTAGTTGACGCAAATTTTAAGCTCAGAAACCTCAAGTTTTAGTTTAGTGTACATGAATAGCCCCAGAAGGGGGCTCCAGACGAGGAGAAGAATGAACAACAATCAGACAGAGAGTAGATTGGCGAACACTGGTCAATAACACTCCTCAACACAATTCATCTCATACATCAATGTACATCACAACATCAATGAAAAACACATTTTATCAGTACAAAAACAGATATTATATATATTTCTTTAAAAGTTGAATAACAATTGTACAAAAAAACCCCGATATATATGTGAATATACAAAATGAACACACACACACACAAATGTCTCCCTTCTTTTTTCTATTCTTTAACAAGATAAAAGGAAATAAAAAGTGTGATTTAAAAATACACTTGTATCAATGTTGTTGCATGATTCGTCAAATTGATAAGTGACATGTGGTATCATTAATAGAGAGATGAAGTTAAGAAGAAAAAAAAGAAAGAGAGAGAATGTTTATTTTTAAAGAATACTGGTAGCCGTATTCTTTTTGTTGTTGTTGATAGGATGTCGTAGTCATAAAAAAATGCTCATAATTATGACCTAGTTAGTACAATGTGATGTAGTTGAGATAAAATCAATAAATTACAGTACAGTAGAGATAGAAATTTGAAAAAAAAATCGATGAAATGCACAAATATCTGAGTGTATACGATACTGACTGCTCTCCACTTCCCTCCTTGACAGCACCACCAGCACCCCAACCAAAAAAGGGGGATATAATATGTATTATCGATTACTACTTACTTACTGTTCACCAGTATCAATATATTTCGATAGATCAAAGCTTAGAACACGACTAACAAGACAATTATTCTCCTGTAATGTATATATACATAGAAAGAGAAATTGTATATTTGATAAGTGAGAAATGAATATGTTGTTATGAATCAATAATCGATAATGTGTATAAAATGAGAATGTAGTAGTATTATAGTTAATGTGGTAATCTTTTTTCAATTTGAGTTATAGGAGATTAGTGTTTTTAACATATTGAAATGATCAATCGATTAATGTTAGACCATCATTAGATAAAACTGGGAAGTAATGGATAGCCGTTTCGTCCTGATATGGGACTCATCAGTAGCAGTGAGCATCCACGACTTCTGCACTTCGCAGGAGTCGAATCTGGAACCTTAGGTCTTGTACGCGAACATCTAACCTCTAGACCACTGGGACGGCATGCAACGGTGTTAATGTATAACTATGATCAATATAGGGATTTTGCGCGAACCTCATCCATTTGTTTTTTGTAGTTACTGCCTACAGCCAACAGGGTTGAACTCCACTGGTCACGTCTCCCCAACAGGACTCCAAGAATTTCCTCACGAGGCTAGTCACTACTGGATGCACACTATTGATGAGTCTCCTATACCAAGACGAAACGGCCTCCCAGTGCTTCCAGGTTTCTAATGGTGGTCCAAGAATGACTGATTGACAATTTCACTGATGGTAATCACATAATACGAACTCGATTGAATGCTACATTGAATAAAACTGTTACATGGACAACGTCTTTTGTGAAGGTCAAACGGTAAGAATGAGACAAGTACGTAGACGAGCAGAATTATTCTGAGTTTGGTGAATTACTCATCAAACGAACATCTACTTCTCATACTCTTCGACCACGAGAAGGTTGCGATTACAACTTCCCTGGTAGTGGTTATATGCATGTGGTTGTATGAAAGAATTTCGAGAGGTAGAGCGAACTCTGCCAATTTTGGAAGTGAGTAAACATTAGCCACTTGGATAGATTGAATTACATGAACTAGGAGTCAAACCTATAGGACAAGTAATTTAACTAGCTGTTATTGATTTTTTTTTAAAACTAATAACAATCATAAACAATTGTTATACAGGCTTATCGATTTATCTAGATTGGTGACTGTATGCTACATATTACAAGTCCTTTATTTTCTAACTTATCAAATTTCCATTGTAATGAATAGTTGTGTGCTGTTACGGATATGAGGGTGGATGTCACTTACTGGCTGACCACAACGTGGAAGGGTATTTCATGAGGAAATGGAAAAGGAGGATAGATTAGCGTTGGTCATAAAGACCTGCGGGCGTTAACGCAGAGCCAAAGGGACAACTACTTCCGGCAGGTCACGCACGGCCTTTTTATGAGTTTTTAAAGTGTTAATCCCACTCCTATTTAAAACGCCTTACTGCCGGAGATCGAAATCCGTGAGGTAAGATGAGGTGTGATATTTTACTGCCGACCTTTTCGAACCCCTATGCTTTCGCTTTGAGCAGCCAGCATCCCTGCAGATGCTGATTGTCCAACGGAAACACCTTACTGTTGTCACACCCTTCTAAAGTTAGCAGTACAACTTCACTCTCAAACCTTCAGTTGCTGCTTTTCGTCATATCGTCCTCCAATCGAGCCGCCTGGCATGGTAGCATCTACAGGAACATATGTTTCAACCAATGGAGCTCGGCTTGGTCATCATCACAAATAGGCAAGCCCGACCACGGCGTCAAGTTAGCAGCTACAGTCGGGAATGTAATGAATATGTACATTCATACAAAGTAAGCAATTTTTTAGGATAAGGAATGAAAGCTAAGTAATTTAGTTAGTTAACTAGCTCACAGAGCACAACACACTACAGAGTATAGTTTTATATTGATTGAATTATTTCTGTTCCAACTGAATGCAGCTCAATTGAATTCGTTAAATTGTGTTTGATTTAGCTGTCTGTTAATCGACTTTTAATGTCATCATAACCGAATCATTTCGAATGTTTTGGGTTCAGCAAATCTAACTGACAGGAAACGTTACAACTGAAGATTACGTAACTGATTACTATAATTTGTTCGTTCTTAATTGAATATTTCTGAATTCTAATCATCGACAGGTTACTTACTTACTTTCGACTCAAGATAACAAGACATAGGAATGCAGTAGAAAACAAGCAGATGATAACAAAATATACCAGTGAATTAAAATAAAAAAGGGATTGAAAATTGACCATTTACAAATAATTCCCAATTTAACATTGAATACTATTACTACTACTACAGTTGCTACTACTTACAATATCTGGATAAATACCAATTAAACTATCAGCACGACTGTAGAATTCTTCTTTCAAGGAAATCACAATAATTTGTGCACGTGCTGAAGCATATTCACGTATAAAACTAGCAACCTAATATATAAAAACAACAATGATACAAAACAGTTAGATAAAATAATAATAATAAACAGGTATTGTGTTTGTGTTAGAGAAAGAGATTAACGATACGACAAGAAAACAAAATGATTCAAATTTTAATCTTCTGCATTGATTATCACCTTTATGTGACTCTTTTTTATGCCGATGACATAGTTCTATTCAGTGAAGACGCTGACAAAATGCAGAGTCTTCTGATCACCCTAAGCAACAATGCAAGCATGTTCGGGATGCGGTACTCACCCTCGAAATGCAAAATGTTGCTTCAAGATTGGGTTGCATCGGCACTTGAACTAGTGATAGGGAGTGAAGTAGTCGCACGTGTTGATCACTTCACTTATCTGGGGAGTCTGATCAGTGCTGATGGCCTGATGACTGACGACATCTCAGCTCGGATACAGAAGGCTCGATTGACTTTCGCCAACGTGCGTCACTTATGGCGTAGGCAAGATATCCGTTTGATGAACTAAAGGACGAAGGTACTGCGCAGTAGTCCGCTTCGTCTTACTTTATGGCTGTGGAACATGGCCAATGAGAGTAGAAGATATTCATAGGTTACTGGTTTTCGATCATAGGTGTCTTCGAATCATTGCTCGTATATCGTGGGACACCCGAGTGAGCAACGCTGTTATTAGGAATCGGGTGCTAGGTAAGAATGGCAGATCAATAGACGCAGTAGTGATACTTCATCAGTTGAGGTGGTTGGGACATGTGTTGCATATGCCTAACCACCGACTGCCTCGACGAGCTATGCTTTGTAGTGTAGGAATAGGTTGGAAGAAAGGGGTGGCCAAATCAAAACATGGCAGAAATCCATGAAGTCATTGACGAGTGGACTGAGCCATGTCGGTAATTGCCGACTTCCTAGTTGGGGTCCGCGAGATGATAATAATCGATGGTTAGAGACCTTGAATGACATGGCTCAAAATCGTTCGCAATGGCGCCGGTGCATTTGTTCTTTGTGTTCTCTCTTAAATCCTAATGTTCTGGATTCTTCAACACCTCTACTTTTGTCTTTCTAAAGTTATCCCACTGAATCATACCTCTTGAATAATATCTTCTAATCCTAACCTCTCCGATTACTTCTAATACCTTTACTACCTCTACTACTATTGAATTTGGATTGACAATTATATCTCTCTATACTAATGTGCTATGGCAACATGAACTGATGTACTTAGGTACGAAGTTCTACGTTGCATCTGACTGACTGACTGACTTTAGTTTATTTCACTAGATTATACTACCTGAATAATATCTTCAAACCCCTAAATCTCTTTGATTACTGCAAAAAAAACTTTTATTACCTCTAGTACTATGTGATTTGAATCGACGATTGCGTCTCTCTCTCTCTGTGGTAATGATGGATGGCAACTTGAACTGATGTATGTATATATATACGATGTTCTACGTTGTAATTAACTGACTGACTGATTGAAATTCTAAAAGATATTTTCTGTTAAAAACCAATCCATTGAAATGTTTAACAATGGAACTAAAGAGTTTTGATAATTATCAACTAACCACGTTGAATATCAACTTAAACAAACAAACGAACAAACAAGTTGCAGTACCTTGTCACGTAGAATCACAGTAGAACATAGTAGATTTTCCACTAATTTCATAAATTCTAGGAGGACAAAATTGTTTACAACCGACAATAACGCTATCGTAATTGTGGTGTAAGCTACTTATAAGTAGTATATGACATGAGTGTCAACGTAATGTCTGGCAGCAGAACATGGGGGAAGATCAAGAAAGGAAGAGTGGGAACACAATGGAATTTGTATGAAACGCATGAATAGTGACAATGGATTGATGTTTTGCAACAGGAACAGTCCAGTTCGATATGATGAACTGATATTTTGCAAATGAACAATTTACGATATGGTTTTCCTATTTTACTGAGTAACTCTGCAATTTTCGTTAAATACAATTTGTTTGCCCCACCTGTGTTCTCATTCACTACATAATAATTATTTGATAAACTATTCCATTTAAGCTGACATTGCTTTGTTCAACGTTTAAATAATTGGAGAGGTTGAACAGTCTGGAGATAGATAGATACACATTTTGTTCATCGCTAAATGAATGAGTGTGATTCGGCGTATTACACGTTTCTCGAATGTGACTTTCAGAAAATAAATCACATATTTGAATGTCACACCTCCACTAGCTGGAATTAACTAGTTGGGAAATAGCATTCAGCTTAAATATTTTTTTACCTGCTAGGAGATCAAAGGTAAATATACGAATATGTAACTGGCAAATCAAAAGTAGTAACAATCTTTGTTATACACCTGTTGGCACTGATCAATACATATCGATTATTTTGAACAATATCGATTATATGATTAGCCAGTGGATTAGAGGGTTTTAGGACAAACTAATGTTGATTATTCGTGTGTTAAACGATTAGAAATTTGAGTAGGAAGAAGAAGGAAGGAAGGGTTTCAGTTTTAGTAGGGTATAAATTCTATTTTATAAAAAAGCAGTTAGGATTCTTCTAATAAAAAAAACGAGAACTCATAAAAAAAAATTCTGATAGACTAGATAACTTGTCATAAGTGATAAACACTTTATAATGAAATTTTAAAAAAAAACGAAAGACCGAATTTTTTTTTGGATAACTTCAGATTCTGTACTAATATTTAACATTTCAGATATGGAACGATCTAGCTAACCAGAAGATAGCAAATATATGAATTCTAAAAGTGTTTATTATTCAGACTAACCTTTTAAAATAAGGAAACTGACATGTAATAACATAAAGCACTAGTCAACCTGAGCACCACCCCCCCTCAGTACAATGAATGATGAGGTTGATATATAAATGACATGGTTATGGAAACTGTTGAGTTACTTTAGTGAAATCAGGAATTAATCAATGTTAGACCACCTAGACAGCGGAAACATGGAGAACTACGAAAGCCACCATCCAGAAGATACAAGTGTTTATTAACAGTTGTCTACGCAAAATACTTTGGATTCGTTGGGCAGACACGATCAGCAACAACGTATTGTAGGAGAAAACAAGCCAGATTGCAGTGGAGGAGGAAATCAGGAAGAAGCAGTGGAAGTGGATAGGACACACATTGAGGAAAGCACCTAACTGCGTCACAAGACAAGCTCTCACATGGAACCCTCAAAGCAAAAGGAAAAGAGGAAGACCGAGGGACACATTACGCCGAGAAATGGAGACAGACATGAGAAGAATGAACAAACATTGGACAGAACTGGAGAAGGAAGCCCATGACAGAGTTGGTTGGAGAAAACTGGTGGGCGGCCTATGCTCCATTGGGGGTAACAGGCGTAAGTAAGTAAGTAAGTAAGACCACTATTAAAAACGTGGAATAACTGGACGGTTGTTTTGTCCTAGTACTTAGGGCTCATCGGTGGCAGTGCACATCCACGACTCCTGCAACTTTCAGAGGTTAGCGTCCGAGCACAAGACCGAAGTCCATTACCAATAACATCTCAACTATCTCTACCATTTTGGGATTTGAACTGACAATTGTGTCTCTGTGCTAATGTGATATGGCGGCAACCTGAACTGATGTACTTACGTACGAAGCTGACTGACTGACTGACTGACTAACAAGACCGAAGGTCCTGAGTTCGAATCTTGCAAGCAGCAGGAGTCGTAGATGCGCACTGTCATACTACAACGAAACGGCCATCCAGTGCTTCCACGTTTCTAATGATGATGGTGTCTAGCATCAATCGATTCATGAATTCAATAAAAAAATGAAATAGACCAACCCTAACTCTCTCTCTTTTAATAATCACTTACTTTACCAATATTTGTATTATCCAACGCAGCATCAATTTCATCCAATACAAAAAATGGTGATGGATTATAACGATGCATAGCAAACAGCAGCGCTAATGCAGCGATTGTCTTCTCACCACCTGATAAACTATCCATTTGTTGAAAACGTTTACCTGGTGCAACACATTGAAATTGTATCTCTTCTAAATATGGTTCTTCTGCATTCGTAGGTAGTAAACTTGCCTAAGGTAAACACAATCAATGTGTATTAGGTGAGGAGGGGAAAAACAAGAAAGAAAGAAAAACAACGAGAATAAGTGTGTGTGAAGATAAAACTGGATTTCGGAAATAAATTTTTACTGATTATAATATGGATAGTTTTGTTAAATAAACCGAGTTTGTTTACATTCTAACGTTGATTGCCTGCTGTTAATTAATTATGCTGACTTATAACTGCAGCTGCTGCTGCTAACTAATATCATGTGACAGAATCACCACCAATCAGAATATTGGATTATATGACCTTGACCATGAGCCAACCAATGAGAGGTCAAACAATAGCTAGTAACCTTGAGTCACCGCTTCGTCCTTAATGATCCAACTTTTCGGTAGCTTCTCACACTGTCCTACTTTATTGAGTCCACCACAATACAGTCATCAGTCTACATAGAAAAACATACACGACCAGTTCACACCATGAAATGGGAAATAACAATTATACAAGAGATTGAGCTAAAACAGTATTAAGTCTCTGTCGGTTATAACACATACACATTATCACTTGATTATCACTTAGATAAAAAAATAACCCTACTTCCATTCCCAATCTTTGTTATCGATTGCCATTGTTGTGCATTTGTTAGGTTACTACTACTGTAGTGAATGAGAACACAGGTGGGGCCACCGAAATGTATTTAACGAAAATTACAGAGTTACTCAGTAAAATTGGAAAACCATATCGTAAATCGTTAATTTGCAAAGTATCAGTCCATCATATCCAACTGGACTGTTCCTGTTGCAAAAAACATCAATCCATTGTCACTACTATTCATGCGTTTCATACAAATTCCATTGTGTTCTAACTCTTCCTTTCTTGATCTTCCCCCATCTTCTGCTGCCAGAGACATTAAGTTGACACTCACGTCATATACTACTTATAAGTAGCTCACACCACACTACTACTCATAAACATATTGTACATATATTCTTTTAGTTATTTCAACATTTTTTGGAGAATGTTGAAACTAAGTTGTTTATAGGTAAATAGTTTTATTTAAGAGTAATATTTTGTGATATTAAATTTGTGAACTGGTTTGGATACTTATAAGTAATGTCTAAACGTAACTATTTTTTGTTTGCTCTAAAGTTTGGTAATTTTTATACATGTTATGTACTTGGTATAATTTTGTCATTATACTGACAATTTTTCATGTGCTCACTAGTGACTAGCTTCGTGTAGAAATTCTCGGAATTCCAGTGAAGTTCAATGTATAGTGAGTATGAGGCAACTTATTTACCGAAGATAATGGATGATAGTCTTGCTTAATTGTGGGTTGGATTCAAATTAGACATCAATATCGTTGGGGACCGACTCAATAGCAGAATCACGTGCTCGAATACCGCTTGTGAGATTGTTGGTACATATCCAAAAATAGTACGAGACGGTTGTTCAGTGCTTCAACGTATTCAATGATGTTCAAATAAATATTCATGGGTTCATTATTTAAATGATAGATTTTTGTTTAATTCTGTTTAGCCTACCAATAAATATCGATAAATTTACTAAATAAATATCTGTTAGTAGGGAGGATCAGTTTTAGGGGCGGCCAAACCAAAACATGGAAGAAATCCATGAAGTCACTGACAAGTGGACTGAGTCATGTTGGTAGATGTAGACTACCTGGTTGTGGTCCGCGCGATGATAGTCACCAATAGTTAGAGACCTTGAACGACATGGCTCAGAATCGTTTGTAATGGCGCAGGTGCATTCACTCTTTGTGTTCTCTCTAATTCTAAATTTCTGAATACCTCATAATCTCAACCTTTCTCCTTATAAATTTATCTTACTGAATTATACTTCCCGAATCATATCATCGATCCCTAATCTTCTCCATTACTGCTAATACTTCTATTATTGCTATCACTCTTGGATTCGAACTGACAGTTGCATCTCTGTGCTGATAGGGCATGGCAAACTGAACTTATGTACTTACGTACGAAGTTCTGCGTTGTATCTGTCTGTCTGTCTGTCTGTCAGGTAGGATCAGTCTAATATTATTCTTGCTATCGATAAGAAATTGATTTACGTGGCTACACACTGACACTACTGATGTACGTACGTATGTACGTACAAAGTTCTACGTTGTAGCTTACTTTGTATTCTATCATAGCAAGGGTGAACAGATTACGTCATCATACTTACTTGAGCACCAGGATTTCTTGATAAACTTTTATAAATTGGATCAATATTATCAGCGATTGAATTGAAACAATTCATAAATGAATTATAACGTAATCGACGAACACGTTCAAATCTTGCTTTAGCTCGTTTAGCTCTACGTCGTGTATCTTCAAATTCAGCTTCGGTTGATCTGAGACGTTCTTCAACACTACCTAATTTATCACCTGCACGTAAATTTGGAGCTTGTATACGAGCTAAACTATTTAACATGGAATCGACTTGATTTTGCATTTCTTCAGCTCTATAAAAGAAAATAAAAAAACAGTAAAAATGGTTCGGAATTTATCAGTAATAAACAGACAATCGAGTTTATTATTTAGTATTTTGAATGAAGACAAAATGTATTGGGATTCATTTAAGTAACTGTTTAGAAATACGCAATATGACCATTCTAAGCAACAATGCATGCATGTTCGGGATGGGTTGCACCAGCACCTGAACCAGTGATAGGGAGTAAATTAGTTGAGAGTATTGACCGCCTCAATTATCTCGGGAGTCTCATCAGCGCTGATGGCCTAGTGATTCACGAAATCTCGACAAGTATACAGAAGGATGGATCGGCTTTTGTCAACTTGTGTCACTTATGGCGTAGGCGAGATATCCTTTTGCTAATTAAAGGACGAGTCTACTACATAGCCGTTCGCTACATCCTGTTTTATGGCTGTGAAACATGACCAGCAAGAGTAGGGCTCTATTATTCGATCATACGTGTCTTAAAAGTATTTCTCGTACATTTTGGGACTATCGAGTAAGCAATGTTATTGTTAGGAAACGAGTACTAAGTAAGGATGGGAGATCAAGAGATGAAGTACTGAAACTTTATCGGTTGAGGTGGTTGGGACATGTGTTACATATGCCCGACCATCGACTGTCTGATGTAGGAGCAGTATAAAAGAAAGCTAGTGAAGGCCCAACCAAAAAATGGCACAAATCCATGAAGTCACTGACAGGTAGACTGAGACATGTTGGTAGGTGTACACTACCTGGTTAGAGTCCGTCACGCAATAGTAACCGATAGTTTGCAATAGAATTTGTACATCCATATAAGTATCTTAAAAAAAGAAGCTGTATGCTGTGTTGTAATTTAGATCATTTTTTGGGTGACTGTTATTGCCGTTCGACAAATGATGTAGTTGGGAGATCGCCAGCGGACTAGAGACCGAACTGCTGACACGACACATGACAAATCAGCAACAGACTAAATTTTTTATTAAAAACAATCTTAATTTTTTCAACTAGGATACCGACCGTAGTGCTACCTTGACGTAATGATCGGGTTTGCCTGTTACGATGACCCAACCGAACAATATTGGCTAGAACATATGTTCATGAAGGTTCTACCGCGCCAGGTAGATCGATTGGAGAACGATGAGACTAAAAGTAGCTACTCAAGGTCTGAAGGCGAAGGCGTACTGCTGACTGCAGAGAAGTGTGACAGCAGTAAGGTGTTTCCGTCGGACGACCATCATCTGCAGCGATGCTGCCTTCGCACAGCGAAAGGAAGGGGTCGGGAAAGATCGACCCTAAAAATGTCACACCTAACCTTACCTCACAGATTTCTGTCTCCGTGTCCATCAAACGATCATATTCAAAGTGGAATTGTCATCGGTTGGTAAATTACCACAGTGGAATATAATTCAGTGAGATAAATTTAGAAGGAGAAAGATAGAGATTATGAGGAATTCAGAAATTTAGAATTAGAGAGAACACAAAGAGTGGATGCACCGGCGCCATTGCAAACGATTCTGAGCCATATCGTTCAAGGTCTCTAACCATTGGTGACTTTCGTCTCGCGGACCCCAACCAGGTAGCCTACATCTACCAACATGACTCAGTCCACTTGTCAGTGACTTCATGGATTTGTGCCATGTTTTGGTCTGGCTGCCCCTAACTTTCTTCCAACCTCCTACTACACCACGAAACATAGCTCGTCACGGCAGTCGGTGGTTAGCCATACGTAACACATGTCCTAACCACCTCAACTGATAAAGTTTCACTACTTCATCTATTGATTTGCCATCCCAACACAGAACTCGTTTCCTAAAGATACCATTGCTTACTCTGTCATCCCACGATACACGAGCAATGCTTCGGAGACACCTATGATCGAAAACCAGTAACCTACGAATTATGGAAATCAATAAATTTTAATGTGTCATAGCATAGAACATTTTCAAGTTGTATTGCTGCTGTGCTAGACCGGAATTCCTCAAAATGCCAACAGAAAAATCAATTAGAACTTGTAACTCAATGTAGTTTACTCGAAAAAAAATATGAAACCACGTTAATACAAGAAAACAAAAGCCCCTTTAGTCATAAGTCGAAAAAAATAGTCTTACTTTCTATTGACTTCTTTTTCATCAGTCATTTGTCGTAAAGGTTTATCAAGATGTTTGAAATCAATTGGTAGACGAGCTTCCAACTCATAAATATGAGCCATTTCTTCTGTACTAGGATCCATATTTTCACTATCTGTCAGTTGACTATTTAATTCGGGTATTGGATCACAGCCTGGTTTCAATGGTAAATCTAAATCTTCCATCTGAAATTGAACACCACACCATCATAGCCGAGATTAAAATTATTTAAACACTCTTTACTATGGTCATTTAAAGGAATAACAAGTTTTATGTGTAAATTTATACATACAGTGAGTCAGTAATCAAAAATAGGCCAAATGAGAAGGCTATTTCATGACCGTTAGAAATGTACCAAAAGGATGGATTCATATCATTGGGTCAAGAAATGGATTCATTTTCTAATGGGAAAGAATATATAAATACAAATGTGTATTTGACAAAGACAGACATATACAACACAGAACTTCGTACGTAAGTACATCAGATTAGGTTGCCATACCGTATCTGCACAGAGACGTAACTGTCAGTTCAAATCCAAGAGTGATAGAGATAGTAGAAGTATTAGCAGTAATGGAGAAGATTAGGGAGCGAAGATATGATTCGAGAAGTATAATTCAGTAAGATAAATTTAGAAGGAGAAAGGTAGAGATGATGATGATGAGGGATTCAGAAGGTTAGCATTTTAAACAAAACAAAGATTGGATGCACCTGCGCCATTGCAAGCGATTTTGAGCCATGTCGTTCAAGGTCTCTAACCATTGAAATGAGTATTTGTGTATATGAATCGATAGCTAAATAAAATTTCTCTTCCACGCTTGCTTTCTCGCTCAAGTAGCCAGTGTTTTGGAGGGAGGTGGCGTGTATCATGTCCAGCTCTGGGGCACCGCACAAAATAACATGAATGACAGGAAGACAGCCGATACGTTTTTCGCAGATAAATAATTACATTTAAACTAGTAGTCATAATGCAACACGGTCTAGAAAACTCAATTAACACCAAAGCACTGGACAAACATGATGATGTCCACTAGTCAGTGAGTGATCAAACAATTATAAATATATGTCAGTCACGATTTGAGTAGCTCAGTGGTAATGACTCGAACTATATAGCTTGGTGACGTAGATTCAAATCATACAGTGAGCGTTCGTTATCTCAAGATCACAGGTACACCTGGCTGACGACGAAACTTAAATGAAGTAAGGTTGTGATGTATGCCACTTACAACGAAGCTTATAAGTAGTATGCAATCGATATGGAGTACAGTGTCACCCTGAATTTACGGACGAAGCGAAGAGTGTTGGATCGGAATGCAATCAGAGTGTGTTGAAGAATAGAAGACACATGAAAGAAGATAACCAAGAATAATCTTGTTCTGAAAATGGACATCTAATGGATAAAGTGAACATATTTGGGCATTTCTCCTTCAAATAATTGGCTTGTTCCACCTAGTTTTACCATTTTCATTAACTGAAATCCTCAATCAATTATTGTTAGACCATCATTAGAAGCACTGGAAGACGACCATTTTGTCCTGATATGGGACTCATTAGAAGTGCGCGCCAACCATTCCTGGTCCAGAGGTTAGGCGTTCGCGTGCAAGACCGTAGGGCCTGGGTTCGAGTCCTGCGAGTAGAAGGAGTCGTGGATGCGCACTGCCACTGACAAGTCCTACATACCAGGACGAAACGGCTGTCTTCCAGTGATTCCAGGTTTCTTCTAATGTCCGGACTAACAATGATCGATTGATGATTTTTACGTGTAGAAGCACAAAGATCTCCATAACTCTAATTGAGGAAATAAAAATATTACTTACTTTAGCTGCTTGTAAAAGTGAATGCCGTTCAGCACGCCTAGATTCTAATTTCGCTTCAGCTTGATTTAAATCTTTTTGTAATTTTTGTATATCACGTTGTTTATTCACTAGACGTCGACGTATTTCACCTAATTCACCATCAAGCATTTCAGCACGATATTTCAATTCACCAACACGTGATTCAATTTCTGTTTTTTTATTCTCTTCCTGTTCCATTTCTTCTTTGATTTTTTTCTCTTGTTTTTTACATTTATCCATTTCAGCACGTTCTACTGAAACTGTCTCTTCCCAACGTTTAACATTTGCTATATATAAATGAATATAATATGATGATATATTAAACAGTAAGAATATTTATTACTTATGTTAATTATGAAGGTGAATAATAATAACATTGAGATTATTGCTGACCGTCGGATGAATCGTTTAAAATAATGGAGAACAGAGGAAGGATGTTGATTGTGCCTGATTTGGTCTCGTGTGCTGTTACAGGGTATGAGGGCGGATGTCATTTCCCAACTGCCTACACATCGTGGAAAGGTGTTTCTTGAAGAACCGGAAAGGAAATCGGATTAATGTTCTTTTGAGTGACCAAGGAGCGCGACTGCAATGCCCAAAGGGACAATTGCTTGAGGTCAGTCACTGCACGGCCTTTTTATGGGAGGTTTTTGATGTGTCAGCTCAGCTCTATAAATGACCTTACCGGCAGAGACGGAAATTCATGGGGTGAGGTGAGGTGTGACATTTTTAGGGTCGATCTTTTCTGACCCCTTCCTTTCGCTGTGCGAAAGCAGAATCGCTACAGATGCTGATTGTCCGACGGAAACACCTTACTGCTGTCACACCCCTCAGCAGTACTACTTCGCCTTCGGATCTTGAGTTGCTACTTTTAGTCTTTTCATTTTTCAATCGACCTGCCTGGCATGATAGAACCTACATGAACATATGTTCCAGTCAATAAAGCTCGGTTGGGTCATCACAATAGGGAAGCCCGATCACCACGTCAAGGTAGCAGCTACAGACGGGATAGAGAACTGAATAGTTGTTTACAACTAATCACGACCACATCAAATACCATAAATTTACTGAAATTGGAAACACTGAATTCAGAATATAGAGTCTAATGATACTGAGTTGTTAAAGAAACCTTAAGGTTCTGTTCAGTACGTTATGGATACGTACTGATAAGTAGTTTTAGACCAAAAAGCGTCACGCATTAAATGGTCCTGTTATCTACATGTCATCATCATGGTTGAATTATTTTTTTAACTTTTTACCGTATACAGATTTGTATATTTGACTTTGAGTCATACTTTAAATACAAGGAGGTTAGTGACACGAACCGGCTCCCTGAACCATAAAAAAAGTCTAACCGGGTTCACACTAGGTACTTAATAACAAAAGTCCAACGTCTTATGTCATTATAATCACGGATCTACTTGAACGACAATTCACTCGGTATTAGTCATTTGATCTATCCATTCAAATTAGGTCAGTTTTGCTAGTAGGGGTATCCCATTACCACCGACTACCTCGTTGAGCTATGTTTTGCAATGAACGAATAGGTTGAAAGAAAACTAGGGGCGGCCAAACCAAAACATAGCACAAATCCATGAAGTCACTTGCGAATGGATTGAGTCATGTCGGTAAGTGTAGACTAACTGGTTGCGGTCCGCGAGATGATAGTAATCGATGGTTGAAGACCTTAAATGACATGGCTCAAAATCGCTTGCAATGGCGCAGGTGCATCCAATATTTGTTTTGTCTAAAATGCTAACCTACTGAATTCCTCATCACGTTTATCGTTTTCTTTTTAAGTTTATTTCATTTGATTCTACTTCTTGAATAATATCGTCAAATCCTAATCTCTTCGATTACTGCTCATACTTCTACTACCTCTACTATGGGATTTGAAGTGACAATTCCATCTCTCTGTGATAATGTGGTCTATCAACTGGAATAAATGTACGTACATACGAAGTTCTATGTTATTGTTTACTGACTAACTGACTATCACCTTTTATTCATAATTCCCGAATACACAATTACAAGACAGTAGAATTTTGTAAATTGTAAACTTATAACCTAAATTTAAAAGAATATCTCTCTAGATAATTCAACTATAGCGAAATGAAAGTAAACGTTCTTTGTTAATCAAACCACAAAAAAACACCGTGAAATAATTTGAATCATAGAAAATTAAGCGAACAAACCTTCCGTATCACGTGATCGTTCGTATTCCAATTGATTATTGATTCTTTGCAATTGATTAGTGAACTCTAGTCGTTTACGATCACGTTCACGTGCAACTCGCAATTCTCGATCTTCATATTGTCTAATTGAAGTGTATACAGGAAAAGAATATATACACATGCATGCATATATAAGAATTTCTACAGTATGAAGAATTCATTAAACTCTTGATGGAGATGCCTTTACATATCTTGGCAGCATCATCGACAATGAAGGTGGATCCGATGCAGACGTGAGGGCGCGGATTGGCAAAGCAAAGGCTGCATTTCTACAGTTGAAAAATATCTGGAACTCCAAACAACTTTCAACCAAAACCTATGCTCCATTGGGGGTAACAGGCGTAAGTAAGTAAGTAAGCCTGGAGCCGTTCTAGGGTTATTGTCGGTCCTAAGCTCGGATAAACGAGGAGGGTCGGGCATAGTGGGGTTAGCGACCCCATTCTGTAGAAATCCAACAACTAGCTAAGAAAAAAACATTGACCAGAAAAATAATTCACTGATCGGCGGCCTATACTCCATTAGGGGAAACAGGCGTAAGTAACTGACACAATATATATTCAATAGCAGAACTATAGTAACCTTGAAGAAAACTCCTGTTTATTTAATCGATTATATGCAAGTAATATATTTAGGTAAGCGATCAATGATTGAAATACCTACAGCTTTATGTCATTTTCGTTGTAGTAATGTCACATAACATGCTCAACATATGTTTGAGGTATGAAACACACTGTATAAATGTGAAACTTGATGATACTATCCAGTTGTCTAAACTGAAGAGAGTTAAAATTAGAAATGTAGCCGAGTAAAAGTCGAACTTCATAACAACAAGTTAAGTTTCTTATAACACTAGACAGAAGAATTACTACTTATCACTGACCATAAATTGTGTATACGTTTACTGAATGATAAAAACTAGAGTGCTAATCATCATTTACTGAACTTATTGATTAGAAGTATTCACGAAGGTAGGCGATAAGATATTGAAATGTAATTTAGCCTAGTTTAATATGTTTGAATTTAGTTGTAGAGGATTCCTGAGACAAAATATTATTCTGAATCACAATTGGCACGATATGTTACGTGCGAAAGAAAAATGCATCCGTAATATCATCATATCACAATTCGGTGGACTAACACAATAGGGCTTTTGTCGATAGAAGATAATCAGTACAACATCGATTGGGTTCAGTGGCATATAGCCAACGATCAGAAGTGCACGTACATTCACAGTTTTAATGTTTGTTTAAATGCTAAGTTTTGGTATTCGCTCATTCGAATACTTCATTATTATTTCGTACTTTTGAAATGCATTCCTCAAGTTCCTACTGAAATTGATATTATTTTGTTGTCTTTATTTCGAATCGGAACTAATTCATGTTTTTTCAAAAAATTGCAATAGTACATCTGTAGTGAAGGAGAACACAGTTGAGTCCAACCGAATTGTATTTAACAAAAATTACAGAGTTACTCAGTAAAATTGGAAAACCATATCGTTAATTGTTCATTTGCAAAATATCAGTTCATCATTATCGAACTGGACTGTTCCTGTTGCAGAACATCAATCCATTGTCACTACTATTCATGCGTTTCATACAAATTCCATTGTTTTCTAACTCTTCCTTTGTTGATCTTCCCCCATTTTCTGCAGCCAGATATTACGTTTTTACTCGCGTCATATACTACTTATAAGTAGCTCGCACCAAGCATGAACATAGCGAGATACAAACATTCGGACAAATGTCAGTGTTATATGGTTTTTGGTCTTCCATTTTTTCTTGGATCTAGAGGATTCTAAGTGAGAGTTTGTCTTGTGACGTATTTGTGTATCCTATGCACCTTTGGTGCTTTCCACTAACTTCTTCCTCAAATTAAATTCAATTTGTTCTATCTCTCACAGTAGGTTGTTGCTCATGATGTCCGCTAGCGGATTCGAAGTATTATGCGTAGACGACTGTTGATAAACACTTATCTTGTGGATAATGGCCTTCGTAGTTCTCCAAGTTTTCACTCCATACAATAGAAAGTCTCCAAATTTGTATTGGAAATTCTGATTTCGGTGTTTGTAGATAGTTGTTTCGAATTTCAGATGTTCTTCAATTGTAGAAATGCTGACCTTGCTTTGCCGATCCACGCATATCACATCTGCATCAACTCCACCACGTTAGTCAATGAGGCTGCCCAGATATGTAAAGTTTTTACATACTCCAAGGCATCTCCGTCAACAGTTATTCGGTTGGTGCATGTTATGTTGTATCAGAGAATCTTACTTTCCCCCTTCGCCTATGTTGAGACCTATTGTTACAGAGGCTGCATCTACACTGATCGTCTTCTCTTGTATTTGTTATTGCGTGTGCGATATAAAAGCCAGATTATCTGAGAACTCTATATCGTCCAGCTATATCCTAGCTGTCCAATGTATCCCGCGCTTCCCCCCCCCCGACTAACTTATACAACTTGAAATAATTCTGTCTTTAAGTACGACGTGAAGGTGGGTACATAAATTGCATTGAATACGGCTAAAATAACATTCTAAAACATTATTTCCCTTAAAAAAAATGCTACTACCAATGCATTGCAATTTTATACATGCAATTTACAACGTTTTTTAAAAAAAACTACTTACCTAATATTTTCAACACCAATTTGTACACAGAAATCATGAAACACTGTATCTTCGACAGTATCCATTTTCGCTTTTTCTGCATTCACTGATATTTGTAATTCTTGCATTTTAGTTTGACAACGATTTAAACTTTCCTAAAGGCATCATGAACAGAAACAAAAAAAAACAACACAACAATTGAGAACATGCGATGCAATGAAGAGAATATCATCATCAAAGGTGTATGAGAGAGTAAGAAAGCTTTCTCTTTATTATCAAAGAATCAAGTCTTTCTATCGAACGGTTTAGAAACCAGTTGAGAAGACTTTAAAACTCATTTAAATTTAACATAGTGTGAATGTCAGGTGTTCTAGTCACTGTACGAGCGTCGAATAGCATGAGAATGAAGGCCAGGATTTGCTGTCGACTGCCTCCAACCACCACCTCACATCTCAACATGCATGTGATATTGAGTCACCCAGATAAGTGGTAATATTGCAACCTGATGTGTAGAATTCGATCAGCACTCGTGAGGAGTTGATGCGAATGACATTGACACAGGTAGATTGTAACCACTATATTCTCACATATCACTAAGATCTCATTAGAAATATTATTTTCGTTATAACAAAACATCAATTTATGATCAACTTGGTTAGAATTAACGAATAATTCAGCAGGAACTCATTAGTTTAACCGTATAAATAATCATTTCAGCAGTCCATTATTCATAAAACTAAGTCTTTGATAGTTCTCAGACAACCAGCATCTGCAGCGATGCTGCCTTCTCACAAGGAAGGAAGGGTTAGAAAAACTCGACCCTAAAAAAGTCACACCTCACCCTACCTGACGGATTTCCGTTTCCGGCGGTAAGGGTGCCCACTAAGAGTCTTTAAGAACGGAGCTAATACTCAAAATACCTTTCATCAAAAGGCCGTGCGTGACCGGCCTCAAGCAGTTGTCCCTTGGGCTCTGCGGTCACGCACCCAGGTCTCTAAGACCAACACTAATCTATTATTCTTTTCAGGTCCCTTAGAAAACAACCTTCCACGGTGTGGGCAGCCGGGAAGTGATAACCGCCCTCATACCCGGAACAAATTTAGCCTCAGATCACCACTTGCTGGTAGCCAAAATGAAACTGAAATTCAAGAAACACTGGACAACGGGGTGGACATCACAAAAGTTAAATACAGCATTTCTTCGGGAGGTTCTGGGACACAAGAAGTACCATCACAGGGGATGGATGTCTGTTGGTGCTCTTGGTAAAATTCGACAATGGGAGGAACAAGAATGCAGCAAACAACATCAGCCGAACAAGAGCAGAGAAAGTTAAGGCACAACCAGAATACGCAGAAACAAACAAGCAAGTAAATAGGGACATTTAAGGTGATAAACAGAAATATGTGGAAGACCTAGCAATAATTACTGAAAAAGCTCCAAAAGAAGGAAACATGAGACAATTGTATGATACAACTAAGAAACATGTTGGACACTATCGTAAACCGGAACGATCAGTAAAAAGCAAAGAAGACAAAGTAATCAGCAATACTGAAGAACAGCGTAACAGGTGGGTATAAAACAAGGCAATAGGGAACCAGTTCATCCTTAATACTATCATAATGAATAAGTTTAATATTGTATTCATGAAAAATGTAAAAAAACAACATATTTCTCTTATTTTCACAGATAAAATCACGAAATGATCTAAGCTAGATCAGTATTAGAAACCTGGAAGCACTGGACGACCGTTCTGTCCATGTATGGGACTCCTCAGCAGTGCATACTGACACGACCTTTGAACACAAGAATCGGATCAAGGACCTTCGGTTTTGCATGCGGACGCTAAACCTCTAGATCGTTAAGGCGGCATCTAGTGGTGTTCATGTCTAACTTCAAATAATCCATGATGTTGCATACAGCCTCCATCCATTGCCTACAGTTTCCTACCTCACATGAACTGAAGCCCACTCAGTCAGTCAGTTGCAACGTATCGTACGTATGTATATAAGTTCAGGTTGCCATACCTCATTAGCACAGAGACGCAAATGTCAAACCAAATCCCATAGTGATAAAGATAGTAGAGGTATTAATGGTAATGAAGAAGACTAGGGTTTGAAGATATTATTCAAGAAGTATAATTCAGTGAGATAAGGTTAGAAAGACAAAGGTAGAGGTGTTGATGAATCCAGAAGATTAGGATTTGAGAGAACACAAACAATAAATGCACCGGCGCCATTGCAAACGATTTTGAGCCATGTCATTCAAGGTCTCTAACCATTGGTGGATTTCGTCTCGCGGACCCCAACCAGGTAGTCTACATCTACCAACATGAATCAGTCCACTTGTCAGTGACTTCATGTAATTGTGCCATGTTTTGGTCTGGCTGCCCCTAGCTTTCTTCCAACCTATTCGTACATCGCAAAACATAGCTCGTCGAGGGAGTCGGTGGCTAGCCATACGTAACACATGTCCCAACCACCTCAACTGATGAAGTTTCACCACTTCATCTATTGATCTGCCATCCTTACCTAGTACTCGTTTCCTAAGGACAGCATTACTTACTCGGCTGTCCCACGATATACGAGCAGTGCTTCTTAAACATCTATGATCGAATACTAGTAACCTACGAACATCTTCTACTCTTAACGGCCATGTTTCACAGCCATATAGGAGAACGGAGCGAACCACTGCGCAGTACACCCATCCTTTGGTTAGTGAACGGATATCACGCCAATCGAGCTTTCTGTATCCGCGCTGAGATTTCGTCAGTCACCAGACTATCAGCACTGATGAGACTCCCCAGATAAGTGAAGCGGTCAACACGTTCGACTACTTCACTCCCTAACACTAGTTCAGGTGCCGATGCAACCCAGTCTTGAAGCAACATTTTGCATTTCGAGGGGGAAAACCACATCCCGAACATGCTCGCATTGTTGCTTATGGTAGTCAGAGGACTCTGCATTTTGTCAGCATCTTCACCAAGTAGGACTATGTCATCAGCATATTCGAGATCAGTAAGCGACTTTCCTGGTAGAAGGGGTCAGAACCCCACTGGTCACAGCCTTTTCATCAGAACTTCAAGAATTCATCCTGGAATTAGTTACTAGTGAGTGAATAATTTTTAGTAATGAGGGGAATTCGTGCTTCCAAGTATCTAATTGATATAATCTAGCTTAAGTCAGTGCATACGATTTCACCCACACAAAAAAAAACCAATACAATCTTCACAATAACTTCTTCATTAACATGTATTTCACTTACTTCAACTTCTTCTAATTCCCGTGCAATTTGATTCATTTCCTCTTCGTTTGTACTTAGAAGTTTTTCTTCCTACAAAATGATATACCACAGTTTGTGATAATTAATTCAATTACACTAAATTGCGACACTTTTAACAAGTACACCTTTTTCAGACTTTATATTTAGTTGGTTGGAACTTTAGACCAATTCATAACTAGAAGTGAATGATTCCAATCGTACACTTGTATTGCTTCCAATTCAGTAACAAATTAAACCTAAGTCATAACTAAGTGTACATAAGATTTCAACTTACTTACATACCTACACACGTGTTATCACTAATGAAGCATCATAGGCCATTGACCAGCATTTTCTTCAACCTACTCTATCCTAGGCTTTCCTTACCACTTACTACTTACTTACGCCTGTTACTCCCAATAGAGCATAGGCCGCCCACCAGTTTTCTCCAACCAACTCTGTCCTCGGCTTCCCTTTCCAATTCTGTCCAATGTTTGTTCATTCTTCTCATATCTTTCTTTATTTCTGGGCGTAGTGTGTTCCTTGGCCATCCTCGTTTCCTTTTGCCTTGACGGTTCCATGTGAGGGCTTGGTCTCCTGATGCAGTTAGGTGCTTTTCGTAGTGTGCGTCCTATCCACTTCCACCGCTTCTTCCTCATTTCCTCCTCCACTGTAATCTGGTTTGTTTTCCCTCACAGTAAGTTGTTGCTGATGGTGTCTGGCCAACGAATACGAAGTATTTTGCGTAGATAACTGTTAATAAACACTTGTATGCTCTGGATGATGGCTTTGGTAGTTCTCCAAGTTTCCACTCCATACAGTAGATCTGTCTTGACATTTGTATTGAAAATCCTGATTTTGACGTTGATTGAAAGTTGTTTGGAGTTCCAGATATTTTTCAATTGTAGAAATGCAGCTCTTGCTTTATCGATCCGCTCCCTCACATCGGCACCGGATCCACCATGATTGTCGATGAAGCTGCCCAGATATGTAAAGTTGTTAACATCCTCCAAGGCATGTCCATCAAGAGTGATTTGGTTGGTGCATGTTGTGTTGCATCGGAGAATTTCGCTTTTTCCTTTCCAGTTCTATCCAATTGCTGTTTATTCATTTCAGATCTGTTTCCATGTCTCGGTGTAATGTGTTGTTTGGTCTTCTTCTTCTTCTTTTCCTTGAAACTTGAGGATTCCAAGTTGGAGTTTCGCCTTGTGTGGGTGTTGGGTGTTTTCCTCATTGTGAGTGCTATGCACCTCCAGTGTCTTTTCCTAATAAAGTTGCGTCGGTCTATCCGAAAGTTCTTCAAGGTGCTCTACCCACCTGTTTCACTGGTCTTCAATGTCAGTGATTAGTTTTCTTTCCTTGCTTTTCACTGGTCGTTTTGATTTACGATAGTTTCCAGGTAACTTCTTTGTTGTATTGTACAATTGTCACAAGTTTCCTTCTCTTGCAGCCTTTTCCGACGTCATTGCTAGATCCTTCACATATTTTCGTTTGTTGGCTGTGATGTTCTTCTTCCCTTGCTTGTTTGCTTCTGTGTATTCAGCTTGTACCTTGACACTCTCTGCTCTTGTTTGGCTGATTTCGATTGCTGCACTCTTGTTCCTGCTTTGTCGCATTTTACAAAGAGCACCGACAGAGATCCATTCCTTGTGGCCTAGAACCTCCTGGTATGTTGAAGTGATTACCTCCTTTATCCCTTTCCAATTGTTCTCCATGGCAGTTTTCTTTTGCGTTGAGTAGATCGTGAAAAGCCTGGAACCTATCACTAAAGGCTATCTTGAATTCGTTGAGTTAGTCAGTATCACGAAGAACAGTCATATTAAACTTTTTTGACGCTCCTCGTCCAGTTATCCGCTAAGAGTTTGTTAGGATATTCACCGAATATCCTAAGAGTACTATTTTTGGAAGTATAATCCTATTGGTCGATTTCTATTGGTCAAAATTATGGTCGTTTTAACTGTCAAAGTCAAATACTTCAATGTTGTCTCTTATTGGTCATCGGACTGTTAATGTCATTTCAAATGTTCTTTGCTATTGGCCAACCTAAACTGTCAATGTCACAGACTTTGATGCTCTTTCCTATTCGACCTTAATGTATAAATACGCACTACCTGTAAGACTGAATAAATCCGTTTCTTTCTGCCTACCTCTCTTCTGTACTCGACCCAACAAACAACTCCATCCCACGGTGTTGCGTTCTGATATCTAGGAGATTTGGAAATAGCATTTTGGGTCATATTGGGATATTTGAATTAAACTCCGCTAGGACTGAATAGCAGCTATACGTAGCAGCGTTATAACAGATTTGAACTTCGATTACCGCAAATATTAAATGACAAGTATTTAGATGAGCACTCATTAGTAGCACTAACAGATTACAAATATGATCTGCTAATAACAGTCAACTACCGTTTGAGTTACTTAATCAACTGAACAACTTATAAATCTTAAGCATATCACTATCCACCATTAATCGATAAATGAAAACATGAAATAAATGATTTTACATTCAAAAAGTATATTACTAACTAACTAACTAACCGTGCTATCTTTATCTTTTAATGTATACTTGAGACGAGTATCTAAACCTTTAATTTGTGATTGAATAGTACGTAGTTCAGCTTCTTTACGTTTACGTTTCAATTGTTCTTTGAGTTCATTTTGTAAAGAATCACGTTTAGACATAAGTGTACTAATTTGTTTCTCATCCCAACGACGTGCACGAGCTTTCAAATCACTTTACAACCGAACAAACAAACAAACAGAGAACAGAAAATGACATTAAGATTGGGAAACAACTGATTACAACTTAGAGACAAAACACATAAGAGCTTAATATTTGAAATAAAATGTTGATATCAAATGAGTTTTTGAACCAAAACTAACGATGATAAACATATAAACAGACAGTTTAGTAAGTGCTTATTATTCGAACACCGGCTGTCTTTGAAACATCGCTCGTATATTCTGGGACAATCAAGTAAGTAAAGCTGAGGTTAGCAATAAGGTACTAGGTAAGGATGGCAGATCAATAGATGAAGTAGTGAATCTTGATCAGTTGAGGTGGTTGGGACATGTGTTATGAATGCTCAACCACCGACTGTCAGTCAGTCAACAACAACAACATAGGACTTCGTACGTACGTAATTCAATTCAAGTTCACATAACACATTTGTACACAGAGATGAAATTTTCAATTCAAATCCCACAGTGGTAGATGTAGTAGAAGCAGAAATCAGAAAGATTAGGGTTCGAAGATATGATCCAAGAAGTATAACTCAGTGAGATAAATTTAGAAACAGAAAGATAGAGGTGATGAGGAATTCAGAAGACTAGGATTTGAGATAACACAAAGAGTGGGTGCACCTGCACCATTGCAAACGATTCTGAGCCATGTCGTTCAAGGTCTCTAACCATCGGTTATTACCGTCTTGCGGACCCCAAACTGCTAGTCCACAACTACTAACATAACTCACTCCACTTGTCAGTGACTTTATGGATTTGTGTTATGTTTTGGTTTGGCCGCCCCTAGTTTTCTTACAACCCACTGCAACGCAATTATACTTAACATAAATAGATATATATGACATTTGAATAAAGAATGAGATATTTACCTTGCACCACCGGATATAACACCAGAACGTTGAAATAGTGTGCCTTCTAATGAAACAGTCTAGTAAAATAAATAAATTTTTAGAAAATAAGAACAATTATTATGAAGAAAAACAAATAAAAGTTTTTATTTCAAACTCCTAAAACCAATTTACATTGTTACCGGTTTTTGTAAATTCTCCGATGCAACACAACATGCACCAACCAAATCACTCTTGATGGAGATGCCTTGGAGGACATTAACACCTTTACATATCTGGGTAGCATCATCGACAATCATGGTGGATCCGATGCAGATGTGAGGTCGCGGATTGGCGAAGCAAGGGCTGCATTTCTACAGTTGAAAAATATCTGGAACTCCAAACAACTTTCAACCAAAATCAAAATCAGGGTTTTCAATACAAATGTCAAGACAGTTCTACTGTATGGATCGGAAACCCAGAGAACTACGAAAGCCATCATCCATAAGATACAAGTGTTTACTAACAGTTGTCGACGCAAAATACTTCGTATTCGTTGGCCAGACACCATCAACAACAACTTACTGTGGGAGAAAACAAACCAGATTCCAGTGGAGGAGGAAATCAGGAAGAAGCGGTGGAAGTGGATAGGACACACACTACAAAAAGCACCTAATTGCGTCACGAGACAAGCCCTCACATGGAACACTCAAGGCAAAAGGAAAAGAGGAAGGCCAAGGAACACATTACGCCGAGAAATAGAGAAAGATATGAGCAGAATGAACAAACATTGGACAGAACTGGAGAAGGAAGCCCAGGACAGAGTAGGTTGGAGAAAACTGGTAGGCGGCCTATGCTCCATTGGGAGTAACAGGCGTAAGTAAGTAAGTAAGTAAGTAAGTGTTTTTTGAAAATATTAACGCATTTGTATACACTAAGGTAGCTTGTATGCCTGATAATAGACAACTTTGATAGTTTAAAGTTAAGCTACATGAATTGAAATGGTTACTTTTTGAGATTCATTCATGTCAGGCAGGTTAATCAGAGAATTGTCTCATCAAAACAGTAGATATACACAAGTTGTAATATGAACTGCATTGAGGTGTAGTGGTAATAAGATGCTTCTCAAGTGGATTACAGCCCCGCAAGTGATGTTTTCTTGTCATACAGAAATACATGATGAGTCAGCAAGAAATCTAGCTTTCCACAGTTATTCTACAAATGTCTACTGTTAGTGAACAAGTTTAAAATTTTGGAAGACACATGAGAAAATTTATAACAAAACGACTCTGGATACACTTTCAAGTCGAGGTAGCTGTTAACATTGATACAATGAAGATGACGAGATGACGAGCCATTGGTCTACACTTCTTGATATTTGACCTATATCGGAAATCCTTATTGATAAGTTATTATTTCACGAATGTTCGATAATCTTGAGTGAAGTTACAGATTAAACCTTTTATACGTTTTGAAATGAATAACTTTCAGGATAACTCGTATACATTTTGTAAATAGCAAACCGCATACATAATTAGTGTTCGTTCACTATAAACAACAGCTGTAGAGCATTTTGCTGTAAATTTAAAAAAATATATGAATTCAAAAGATACACACACATACGTGGTTTTAATAGACATGAAGTTTAAAAGCTTATTTCTTTCGTCTACTACATCTAAGCTTGAAAATATTAAAACTCAAATTCATGTAGGCAATAACTGCCGAAGACAACAGATTGTTCAAAGCTGAACACTAAAACCGTTGTTAGATGCTGGACAGCTCAATGGTCTAGAGGTTAAACGTTTGCACACGAGACTAAAGGTCCTAGGTTCGATCCCCACGAGTGGGAGTCGTGGCAGCGCACTGCCACTGAAGAGTCCCATATTAGGACAAAACAGTCGTTCAATGTGCTTCCAAGTTTCTTCTAACAATAAATCAATTCACGATTACAATGTGTGAAAAACAACAACCTCAAATGTGACTGAAAAGTGATACAAAGTGTAAGAATACAATGTATAAAAAAAACTATATACCTTTTTTCTATCACCCATATGATAAGCGACATAACGTGCATGTTCAACAGTTTCACATACTAATGCATTACCACAAGCAAATGTTAATGCTTTTTTCACAATGATTGGATCACATTGAATTACATCAATGACTAAATGAACATTAGGTGGATCACTAATTTCACTAGTAGAAGGAGGGCAAAAAAGGAAAGGAAAAAAAACAGTGATAAAAACATGAAGAAATAATTCTTTTTTTTGAATACTTATCACTTGTGAATTCATTATGCGTAAATAAAAACAAATCAGCTAAATCGGGATCGATAACCATCGATAACCATTGACCTGTTCGAATTAACCAGGTTAACTAATAATAGTGGCTTCTAATGGTGGTCTAACATCGATCGATTCATGGTTTCAAAAATGTGTTAGTAACTTAACAATCTTCATAACCCCGTAATGCAAATTACCTGTGCTCACTAGTGACTAGCTTCGTGAGGAATCTTCTCCGAGTTCTAGTGGGAAGACGTGACCAATGAAGTTCAACCTGTTCGGGTGTAGGCAGTGTCTACCGAAGGCTGTGTATGAGGTTGCGCAACTCCGTGAATTTGATCAAGTTAGACATTAACACCATTAGATACCGGCTCAGTGGTCTAACCGTTAGGGCGTTCGAGCACAATACTGAAGGTCCTGGGTTCGAGCTCTGCGGGGTGCAGGAGTCGTGGATGCGCACTGCTAAGGAGTCCCATACCAGGACGAAACGGCCATCCAGTGCTTCCAGGTTTCCAATGGTGGTCTAAGATTGATCTATTTATGGTTTCAAAAATGTGTAATAATAGTGAGTCAATAGTATGTTAGACAATGTTTTAGTATTTGAGATGATCCATGATGAGTTATGTGTTCAGTGAATACTTTGAAACAACTGTGTGCAAGGGGGGAATAGGAAAGAATGTGCCAGATTTTTTTAGAAGATAAAGAAAATTCGACGCCACAAATTTGGTGAACCCGACGTGATACTGTGAGGATATTCATCCAATATCCTAAGAGAATTATTGGTCAACTCCTATTGGTTAATTCCTACTCCGATGTTGTTTCTTATTGGTTATCCGGACTGTCAATGTCATTTCAAATATTCTTTCCTATATTGGTCGTCTTAACTGTCAATGTCATAGACTTCGATGCTGTTTCCTATTCGACTTAAATGTATAAAATACGCAGTATCTGTAAAGCTTTGTATTCCATTCCTTTCTGCCTTCCTTCATCTCTACTGTACTCGACCCATTAAACAACTTCATCTAACGGCGTTGTGTTCTGATATACAGGAGAGATTGGGAATAGTATTTGGGTCGTACTGGGATATTTGAATTCAGAGGTCGGTAGGATTTGAATAGTTACGTAGCAGATCATAACATATACACAACACCGTTTCCTACGATTCAAAGAGAATCCGTCTCTATTTGATTTATTACTATGGATTTTAATTACTATTGCAGATTATTATTTTCATTTAAAATAATCAAAATAATAAATAAAGGCTACAAAATCAGTTAGAAGTTCATGAAATGATACTTTCCCAAGTAAATTACCAAATCTTTTAAGTATTTACAATGCGGACTTATTTTCAGAGTCCTACAACACATCAACATCAAACGTGTCGACGGAAGATAAAACTTCCACATTTAAAATGAGAGTTCAATAATAAATTTGTTAATATTTCTAAAAGTATAATGAGTAGGTTGATTTGTTAGTTTAACAATAATTCTGTTCATAGAACGAAAGCTGTGATTAGTGGAGTACAATCCTATTGGGTATGAGATGATCCCATACATAATCTCGAGTTACTTAAACTAGTGACCACAATTCGGCTTGATCGATAGAATTCCATCAGCACTAATATACTAGACACATGTGTTGGGGATCTTAGATGACCAGAATTCACTTGGGAAAGGTCCTAATTTTGTAATCTTATTTTGAGATTTTGAATTGCATGTTTCCGCGCCAAAGACACTCATTTCGACCTTCAGCTTGTATTTCCTCTTCGGGAAATCCTTGACTGTCATTGCTTGATGGGTTATTTTAAAACTCTATTTTCTGGCTATCATCAAGCGTGTTTCTATCATTGTATAAATAAGCTTGAGATGTGTGCTTGTTGACCTCGTGCTTTCTGAATGCCTGTGGAATACATATCTCTACGTCTTATCAAGACTCCTTACTCTAGTTAGTGGGGTCTGGCACAATCGGATTAAGGTAGCCTATCGTGCCACTGAATCACTGATCTTCGTTTCGTTTACTGAGTAAGGTGAACTCGTCGAAGTTGCAAGCATATCAACATGGTTTTGAGATGATGGAGAAAATTTGTAGCTCCTGTGGATGATTGTGGTGGGGTTTCATTCTATGAGTTGGGTTCAGTCCCCACTAGCGGAGGTCGTGGATGCGCACTATTGAAGACTCCCTGATGATGTTGCTCAGAAGAACAATGAAAACTCCCCAATCAAAACATCCAACTTAAAGAATGAAACACCACCACAATTCATTCGACATAGATAAAAGAATGACAGTGTTAATAAATGAATATATATATATATATATATATATATATATGCATGGTTTTTACCGTAATTTCTCATCAATTGGTTTTACATCTAAAAAATCAAGTGGTAAAAATGTCTCCGGTTCAATACGTTGATCTTTCATATATTGAATACATTCTTTAGCTGTTTTTTCACTATCACAAACTATAGCATCCATATATTTGCCAAGAACTTTTGTAATTGCTACTTGATAACGTCGATGTGATGGTTGACACATTTCTAACAGACGACCATGCTTGAAAATGTGATAAGAGAGTAATAATGATAATAATAAGTAACGCTGTAAAAAATGTCAACAACTTATCATCTCAATACACGAATTATTTATCACCTAATGATACTTATTCTGTCGCCTGGAGTACAATGCAAAAATTGGTGCGGTGGTTTACAATAAACACTCGCTTTATTCTTAAATATATTTTCAATATTAAGTGGTAAGTGAGTAAACAAACAGGCATTTTTTACTGAGACAACATAAAATTATAAGTCAGTTATTTGTTAAGTATTCGATCAGTCATCGTGTGTAGTTTTATGAAAACTACCCGGCTGATACAACTTCAGCAGATTTACAGATAGAACTAACTCATTTATATTGTCATTAATACAGCAACACTATTATTAGTCGATAGGTAACAGTGAGGACAAACGATGGCTGCAATAAAAGATGCTGATAAACTGGAATCTCTACTTGAACATAAGTTTAATCAGTCAATCAGTTACAATGTAAGACTTCGTATGTACCCACATCAGTTCAGACTGCCATACAACATTAGCACAGAGATGAAATTGTTAATTCAAATCCCATAGTAGTAGTGGTAGTAAAAGTATTAGAAGTAATCTCATAGATTAGGGTTCGAAGATGTTATTCGAGAAGTATAATTCAGTGAGGTGAATTTAGAAAGAGAAAGATAGAGGTGATGAGGAACTCAAAAAGTTAGGACTTGAGAGAACACAATGAATGAATGCACCTAGGCCATTGCAAATGGTTTTGAGCCATGTCACTCAGGGTCTCTAACCATCGGTTATTATTGTTGGGGATGTTAGATCCCCAAAATTCGCTTGATAATGCCGTATTTCGGTTTTCACGTTCGCCAGCAGGGGCTGATCAAATGACCTTGAGATTTCAATTCCCACCAGGAAAATCAATGGCTGTGATTGGCTGCTGTGTATTTTAGTATGCTATTATCTTAACTGTCTCAAGGACGTTGTTATGTTGTATAAATAAACGAGAGTTGTATGCTTGATTGTACTGGGATTGCTGGGTGCTTGTAGAATATACTTTCTACTCTTACCAAGACTTCTGTTTTCCCGTTTGGATTCAAGGTAGCCTTCCTGGAAGCTGGTAAAAGTCTCGTTCGCGTTTATCGACTAAGGTAAACTCGTAATAGCCTCAAGCATACTAAGTGACGAACATATCAGTGGCGACGGGGTAAAAACCATATCCACAAAACATCAGTGGCGACGGGGCTCACAATTCACAATGTCAATTAATCTTGAACAGTTAGAATCTTTACTGGAACGTCAAGGTAAACGATATGAACAGTTCCAGGAACGTATGTTGGAGCTGTTAATGAAACAAATGAATTTGAATCACAGAGGTTTTGCCGATGATTCATATAATCCGCATACAGACTCGATAGTTAATTCCATTCATGAATTTCATTTTGATGGCCTTGCTGGTGTGACTTTCGAGTCTTGGTTTAAGAAGTATGAGGATTTGTTCAAGGTCGACCTCAACAATCTTGATGACGCCACCAAAGTCAGAATCCTTTTGAGAAAGCTCGGCACAATCGAACACGAACGTTATAGTAATTTCATCCTCCCAAAGAACCCACGAGATTTCTCTTTTGATGCTACAATTGATACGCTGTCGCAAATCTTCTCTGAACAGTCATCTCTCTTTAATATTCGTTATCAATGCCTCAAAATAATCAAGTCAAATGAAGATGACTGGGTAAAGCATGCTGGCTTAGTAAATCGTGAATGCGAACGATTTAAATTATCATCAATGACGGAAGATCAGTTTAAGTGCCTTGTGTTTGTGTGCAGCTTACAATCTCCCGACGATGCTGATATAAGAACCAGAATCCTAAGTAGAATTGAACAGTGCCCAAACATCTCGCTTCAAGAAATAACTGCAGAGTGCCAGAGATTAGTAAACTTGAAGCATGATACCTCCATGGTCGAAAACAAGGGCCTCTCATCATACGTGCATTCCATTAGTGAAAAGAAAAATTCCAATTCGGCCCAAAAACCCAAAATGAATCCACCTTCTGCTTGCTGGCACTGCGGTTCATGGCACTATGTACGGAACTGCCCATTTAGGCAGCATAGATGCAGGAAGTGTAAAGTCATCGGTCATAAAGATGGCTTTTGCCTACAGAAAAAGCCAAAGCGATCCAGAAGTGCTAAGAAGCCTCTTCCTAGATCCAGTACCAATGCATTGAGCCTAATATCTTCCTGCCAAAGTTCATCACCAGGTGAGAGGAAATTTATTACTCTTAATATTAACGGTTATTTGTGTAGAATGCAAATAGATACTGCATCTGATGTCACTATCCTCTCACGCAAAAATTGGACCAAATTGGGCAGCCCAAGCCTGCAGCACACAACACAAAAGCCTCGTACAGCATGTGGTAATTATCTTCGTCTGTTAGGACAATTGGAATGTAAAGTTGCTTTCCGAGATTCGTCGTTTACTGGGGTATGCTATATAACGCCAGCTGATCTAAATTTACTTGGTTTAGATTGGTTCGACCAGCTAAAGTTGGCTGATGTCCCGCTAAATACCATATGCAACCTGGTATCACAACCACATGACCCCGAAGCATATACGAAGAAGCTGATGACAGAGTTTTCAACCATTTTTGAACCTGGATTAGGTCGGTGCACTGCTATGAAAGCAACACTTCGGTTGAAACATGGGGCTAAGCCTGCTTTTCGTCCAAAGAGACCTGTACCGTATGCTACATTAGCAACAGTAGATGAAGAGCTGGATCGCCTTCAACGACAAGGAGTTATTACTCCCGTTTCTTACTCCAGTTGGGCAGCACCTATAGTCGTTATCAAGAAGGCCAACGGAACGATACGTATATGTGCTGACTTCTCTACAGGTCTCAACGCAGCTCTAGAACAGCATCATTATCCTCTGCCAGTTCCAGCAGATCTGTTCACTATGCTGAATGGAGGAAAGTTCTTCGCAAAGCTTGACCTAGCTGATGCTCATTTGCAAATGGAAGTCGATGAAGCATCTAAAGGGCTGCTTACTATCAACACTCATCGTGGTTTGTTCCAGTATAACCCTCTACCTTTTGGAGTTAAGACTGCCCCATCTATCTTCCAACAACCAATGGATACTATCCTGTCATATACCCCAGGGGTTGCAGCTTATCTCGATGATATCTTGATTGTTGCGAAGACGTTAGAACAGCTACGGGAACGCACGACATTGGTACTACAACGCATCAGTGACAATGGTTTCCGGTTACGCCCAGAAAAATGCCAGTTTCTATTGCAGTCGGTAAAGTATTTGGGATTCATCTTTGATGCCGACGGTCGCAGACCGGATCCTGAAAACATCCGAGCTATCAAACTGATGCCCACTCCCACTAATGTTTCCGAATTACGATCTTTTCTCGGTGTGATCAGTTATTATTCAGCTTTTGTTCCCTCGATGCATGATATTCGCGCTCCATTGAACTGTCTACTGCAGAAGCATAGCACATGGAACTGGACTAAAGAGTGTGACGCGGCTTTTGGTAAACTCAAGTCTATAATTAGCTCGGAATTGTTATTAACACACTACGATCCATCCATGCCGATCATCGTAGCAGCAGACGCTTCAGCATATGGTCTAGGTGCTGTTATTTCACATCAGTTTCCAGACGCGTCAGAAAAAGCCGTTATGCATGCATCCCGTACACTGACCCCAGCAGAAAAGAAGTATAGCCAGATAGAGAAAGAAGCTCTTGCCCTTGTGTTTGCTGTTCGCCGTTTCCATAAGTTTCTGTACGGTCGGAGATTCACGCTCCTCACAGATCACAAGCCTCTGTTAGCAATATTTGGTTCAAAGTCTGGCATTCCAGCCCATTCTGCAAATCGTCTTCAGCGATGGGCCTTGGTACTTTTGGGGTATGATTTCGAAATCCAATATCGACGCACTCTACAATTCGGTCAAGCAGACGCTTTGTCACGACTCATTAATGATCAAGTGGCGGCTGAGGAAAACATGGTGATCGCATCTCTGTCAGTAGAAGACCACGCAGAATGTGATCTGACAACCGCAGTTCGCGCATTACCGGTGTCTGCAACAGACATACAAAATGCTTCTAGAAACGACCCCATCATCAAGATGACGATGAAATATATCACTAAAGGTTGGCCGTCGAAAAAGTTTGAAGGTGACATCAAGCAACTGTACCAGCGGCGGGATTCACTATGCATCGTGAACGATTGTCTCATGTTTGGTGAAAGAGTAGTGGTTCCAGCATCCCTTCGTGCAAAAGTGCTGAGACAGTTCCATCTTGGTCATCCTGGGATTAAACGAATGAAGTCCGTAGCCAGGAGTTATGCATACTGGCCTCACATGGATCAACATGTCACAGCGTTGGTTGAAAAATGCATCCGGTGTCAGCAGGCGGCAAAGATGAATGCCAAAATTCCGCCGGTTTCATGGCCCAAACCTGAGCATCCTTGGTCCAGGATACATGTCGACTTCGCTGGCCCAATAAATGGAACTATGTATTTAATTGTCGTCGACGCCTTTTCTAAATGGCCGGAAATCAGCCCCGTTATGCCGCCCACTACAACTAAGACTATACAGCTCCTAACTGAAATTTTCTCACGAAATGGCATACCAGATGTGATCGTATCCGACAATGGCTCTCAATTCACCTCTTCCCAATTCCAGAATTTCTGTCAACGGCTAGCTATTAAACACTTACGCTCGCCACCATACCACCCGCAATCGAATGGGCAGGCGGAAAGGTTTGTGGATACGTTTAAAAGAGCACTGCTCAAGTCAAAAGGGGAGGGGACGCCAGCCGAAACATTACAAAATTTCTTGTACGTCTATCGGACAACACCAAATGAATTGTTACCGGAGCAAAAGTCCCCAGCTGAAATCCTGATGGGAAGAAGATTGAAAACGATTCACAGCCTGATGCATCCGACTAATGCACCCTCATCAGTAAAGACAAAGCAGCAAAGACAATCCGCTTACGAAGTAGGATGCCCTGTGTTTGCCCGCGACTACAGAACGAACCATGGTCCTTGGGTAGAAGCGAGAGTGGTCAGAAGGGTTGGTCGAGTTATGTACGAAGTAGAGGTAGGAGGTGATAAATGGTCACGTCATCGCAATCAGATACGCAGACGGCTAGCCCCAGATCGCCCATCAAGAGCAGAAAGCCTTCCCCTTGACATCTTGCTTGATACCTTCAACCTACCGAGAGCCCCGCCACGAGAAGAAACTCAGCAGCAAGCTGTTCTTCGTTCCCGAAGGTATCCCCTCAGACAGCGGCGAACAATAGTCAAGATGCAAGTCAACCACAGGAGAACACGCTATTAAAAAGGGGAGGAGTGTTGGGGATGTTAGATCCCCAAAATTCGCTTGATAATGCCGTATTTCGGTTTTCACGTTCGCCAGCAGGGGCTGATCAAATGACCTTGAGATTTCAATTCCCACCAGGAAAATCAATGGCTGTGATTGGCTGCTGTGTATTTTAGTATGCTATTATCTTAACTGTCTCAAGGACGTTGTTATGTTGTATAAATAAACGAGAGTTGTATGCTTGATTGTACTGGGATTGCTGGGTGCTTGTAGAATATACTTTCTACTCTTACCAAGACTTCTGTTTTCCCGTTTGGATTCAAGGTAGCCTTCCTGGAAGCTGGTAAAAGTCTCGTTCGCGTTTATCGACTAAGGTAAACTCGTAATAGCCTCAAGCATACTAAGTGACGAACATATCAATTATCATCTTGCGGTCCCCAAACAGGTAGTCGACAACTACCGACATGGCTCAGTCCACTTGTCAGTGACTTCATGCAATTGTGCCATGTTTTGGTCTGGCCGCCACTAGCTTTCGTCCAACCCATTCCTATATCGCAAAACATAGCTCGACGAGGCAGTCGGTGGTTAGGCATACGTAACACATGTCCCAGCCACTTCAACTGATGAAGTTTCATTACGACAGCACTGCTTACTTGGCTGTCCCACGATACTCGAGCAATGCTTCGGAGACACCTATGATCGAAAACCAGTAACCTACGAATATCTTCTACTCTCACTGGCCATGTTTCACAGCCATAAAGTAGGACGGAGCGAACTACTGCGCATTACACTTGTCCTTTAGTCAGCAAACGGATATCTCACCTGAGCCATAAGTGACGCACATTGGCAAAAGCCAATCGAGCTTTCTGTATCCATGCTAAGATTTCGTCTCCTGTCATGTGATTTGAATTGACAATTTCATCTGCATGTGTGGCAACGTGGTATCGTAACTTGAACTGATGTATGTACGTACACACGAAGTTCTACGTTGTAAATGACTTCACTGAATAATTGTACAAATTTATGAACTATACATTAAAACACATCTAAGCCAACTTACAACACCAGGAAAAAGACGTTTTAAATTTTCAATAAGTTCTTGTTTTTTCGCTGCACGTGATGATTCATGTCGTTCAACTTTAGCTTCACCCAGCTGACAAACAACCGTTTCTAATTCAGCATTAATTTCATCAATACGTCTAGTGGCTAATTCCACTTCTTCACGTATAGATTTTTCTGTTTCACGTTGTTCAGTGATAGCACGATTACTTGAACTAAATAAAATAGATAGAAATGTGAAATGATTGATTATTATTAGTGACGTGTATGCAAACATGTTACAACAAACAACAAGAACGTTTAATCTGAATCTGTTAATGCAAAAGATATTGTAGATTAGTGGGTTTGTAGTGAAAGAGAACACAGGTGAGGGCAACCGAATTGCATACATCGTAAATTACAGAGTTAATTGGTAAAATAGGAAAACCATATCGTAAATCGTTAATTTGCAAAATATCAATCCATTGTCTGACATTTCACTTATTCATGCGTTTCATACAAATTCAATTGTGTTCCCATTCTTCCTTTCTTGATCTTCCCTCATATTCTGCTGCCAGACATTAAGTTTTTACTCGCGTCATATACTACTTATAAGTAGCGCGGACCACAGGTTGTTAGTTAAGAGTTTGCACACTTGGGTTATTTTGTGTACAACATGCATAATGATGCTACTTAATTAAATATTCAGATAGCAGATGGACGCAGTTATAACATGTAACCTAACGGTTAAAAGTCCAGAATTCTTTTCAATGATAAAGCCATCCTTACTGATAAATGTACGAAAAACGCAGGAAATATGTACTAAACATCCAACAGGATAACAATTTCAATACTGTTTTTCAGAATACTATCATAAATGATTAAATATGACCAGATAATCAACAAATCTGACAGTATCTTATATTCCTTTTAGTTTAAAACGATATTTCAGTTACTCTCAGAAAAATTGTTTTGCAAAAATGCTAACTAGCATAATGTCCCATTAAACACCATTTTCATCAATTGAGATGGTCGGGACATCTGCTACGTATGCCTAACCATTCCGCATGGAGCCCCTTCGGGGCTACTGTCGGTCCCAAGGCGGAATGAAGGAGGGTTAGGCTTGGGTTGGCGACACAATCCCGTGGAAAACTATCTATCTAAAAAGACGCTAACCAGAAAGTATAATTCAAATCATTTAAACGCTTCCCTGGGAGTTAGAAGGTATTCATTTAGAAGTGTTATGAGGTCTTATGATGAGAGCCGAGTTCCTTAGGAAGTCACGAGGCCGATGCCCTTTTTGACAATCAAAGCCCTTCCACGGTGTGGGAAACGGGGAAATAACATTCGCCCTCATACCTGTAAAAATACACGAGACCAAATCGACCACAACCAAATCCCTTCTACACCTCCTAATAACTTTCCTATCTCCACAACCATTGACTGTTCCGACAAGCGATGTTTTGTGTTGTAGAAGCAGATTGGAAGAAAGCTAGGAGTGGCTAAACCAAAACATGGCACAAATCCATGAAGCAACCGACAAGTGGTCTGAGTCATGTTAGTAGGTGTACACTATCTGGTTGCGCCCTGTGATATGATAGTAATTGATGGTTAAGGACCTTGAATGACATGGCTAAAAATCGTTTGCGATAGCATAGGCGCATTTATTCTGTGTTCTCTCAAACTCTAGTCTTCTAAATTCTTCATTACCTTTTTCTCTCACATTTTCAATTTATTTCACTGGATTATACTACTTGAATAACATTTTCGAACCCTAGTCTTTCCGATTACTTCTACTGTGGTGTGTGCTACTTATACGAACGATATAAGTAGTATAAGAATGGACGTGAAAGAAGATGTCTTACGGTCAGAAGAGGAAAACGGAAAGCAAATAGAGCAAAAGCAAGAAAGATTTAGAGCACCGACAGGAAGTAAAGGAAGCAACAGCAGGAATGGAGGAAGGCTGGAGCGTTGGAAGTCAGGACTCAAAGATGGTGTGCAAATGGAGTGTTCAATGTAATGTTATCGTTTTTAATTGACTAAGAGTGTAAATTTGCCAAATACAATCTATTGAGCCTGCCTCAGTCTTCTCAATTGGTGTCGCTGCCTCCACACAGGATGAAGATACCATGGCCTCGGGAGTTTGAAGGCGGAGAAATAAGGATCTTCTTGAAGGAGTTCGAGGCTGTGGCGGAGCTGGTCGGAGTCAAGGAACGGAAGGCGAAGGCGGTGGTGCTGGGGACTCTACTAAGAGGCAGGGCGAGAGCGGTGTACGATAGTGTGGAGGACGCTGACTGGAAGGCGGTGACGGAAAGTCTGCTGTTGGAGTTCGACAGCCCGGCGGATAGGCAGGACGCGCTGCAGAAGTTCCGAGAGGCGCGGCTGTCGGTGGACGGCGACCCACTCGTGCTGGCCGTGGAGTTGACAAGATTGCTGCGCCGGGGTCTGCCGAATTTGGATGAGGAGTCGCAGGCACAGCTGCTAGCCTCGCAATTCATTGAAAGTGTGCCTGCAGATATTGGCCAACAGTTGAGACTGGTGAACGCGGCACAACCAATGGACGTCACCGAGCTGGCGAAAGTAACAAGACAACTGATGAACTCAACAGTCGCCTCGGTGGCGTGTGAGAGACAGGCTGATGATGTCGTGAAGAAGATAGAAGAATTACAACGAGAGGTGGCAGCGTTACGAATAAAGGGTGAAAGAAATAATAAATGCTACATTTGCGGAGGAACCGGACATTGGAACAGGAATTGCCCAACAAGACGAAGACGTAAATATTTTAGACCATACACAAGTTGTTCTTTATGTCTTTCGAAACTGGGGGTTTCGGCATTAGTAGATAAGGGGGCGGTCTATGCGAGAGTAGGGATAAACGAGCGAGAGGTAGTTTGCCTGATTGATACAGGGGCGGCAGTTTCGTTAATAGACAAAGAGCGGTGTAGAGGTATCAGGCCGAGTGCATTAGTTGTTAACACCATCGGCGGCCACGTGTTAAAAATCCTCGGAGTCTCAAATGATATCGTGAAAATCGGCAGTTCGAAAATACAGTTTCCCTTTGTAGTGACTACGAACTTGTCGAGACCAATACTAGGAGCAGATTTCTTGAGAGAAGTAGGAGCAATTATTGATACAAGAAGTAAGAAGGTGATTACAAAGTACGGCACACTGACAATACATGAAAGCAGCGAGGTGGCTGAGGTTAGAGTAGCAAAAGAGGACATTGGAAAGAAACAGAACATTAACGAGGTGCTCACAAAATATAAGAAGTTGTTCACGGGAGACGGAGAACCGTACGGGTTTTGTAATAAAGTCAAACATGAAATTCCGATAAAGAATGAAGAAGTAACCATCTTCACAACACGACGGGTCCCCGTACATTTGGAAGCTGAGATAAACCAGCAGGTACAGGAGATGTTAAAAGCAGGTATAATTGAAGAAGCAGATAGCCCGTACAGCTCACCGGTACTTTTGGTAAAGAAGCCAAATGGAGAGTATAGATTCTGTGTTGACTTTAGAGAACTGAATAACGTGACAGA